CAAGCATCTAGACAGCAGGATTATTGGTGAGAGACGATCCTCCACCTACAGCTGTAGGAGGCTGTAGGAGGCTGTAATGAACACATGGCCTGAACGGCAGTTTGGCTCAAACCACCGACTGAACAGCTTAATGCCTCACATAATTGAAGTGGGATTAATGACAGGATCTTCTCTCCTCCTCCAGTGTTTGCCGTCCTGACACTGTGCTGTGGATGTTTGCTGTAGAAGTTTCTGTTTACGTCAATATTGTGTATTAATTGAACAGGAGTTTCTTTAAAGGACTGCTAATGATAAACGAGACCAAAAAGTTTGGACCCCAATTCAGAGCTTTGAGGAACACCTTGTAGGACTTTAGGAACCTGATTAGGATTGTTTACATTTGTACCAGAAAATTAGTTGCTTTAATCCAATTTCAGTCCTTTTGCCTTTAAAGTCCAGTTCGGTTGGTGAGCTTAGAAAGCTAATGGAACGCTGGTCCGATTTGAAACCTCGGTTTGTTGAAGTGAACTCTGGTTCAGTTTGAATGCATATGTGAATGCCAAGCTGCTCCAAAAGCAGGAAGTGGACTACAGTGCAGGGCATTCTGGGTGAATACAACCGAAGCTAACATGCTAGCCTAGCGCTAGCAGCAGAAATGGCTCCTGGTCTTCAGCCAAAGACTAAAGAGAAATCACTAAACTCTGACGCCTCCATCTTGTTTCATCTGGGGAAACAGGAAGTTGCTCTCAGTGTCTTCAGAGGTTTTTGTGTCGTTTCCTTCAGAGGTTCTTGGTGCAGCGCCCCCACAGGCCAGGAGGGGAACAGGCTGGTTTTGGTCAGAACGACAGCAGCTGGAAACGGAGCAGACGTTCTGGTTCCAGTAGAACCGGGTCGACCGGACCATCAGGAGGGAAATCGGCTCACAGGGAAACTCTCCTTCAGTTTGATCAAATCTTTTTCTGTTTGTGGTCAGTGTCGTCTTCAGAGGTTTTTGTGTTATTTCCTACACCTGCCTTGGATCTGTCGGGGTTAAAGGTCATGGTACCATCCTAATCCATTTACCCCACCAGGACGTTTTTATATTGTTGTCGCCAGTTGATAACCTTACGCTGATTCTGTTGCATGTTGGAGTTTTGTCGTCTACAACAGTCCAGCCGAGAGGAAAAGCCTCTCCGAACCCCTCAGAGGTCAAAGGTTGAACAGTGGAGTCATTGGGGGAAGATGAAGACCTAAAGCTCATCCATCACTGTCCCTCCGGTGCAGATGATCAGAGACGACTCGTGTTGAGGGCTTTTGTTAGCCGGCGGGCCGGCCCTCGTCGTTAATGAACTCCTGCTATGATTTGTCGTCTGCGTCGCTCCGTTTGGCTGTCCAGCTGTCACTCTCACTCAGAGGAGACACTCAGCCCACATGTCAGGAACCGCTGAGAGACTCTCAGGGGACTCAGATCTGCTGCTCCCGACTCCAAGAGGTCAGGTTCACCATGCTTCAATTTAGAGGTGCAACAATGAGACGCATGAGGAGGTTTCAGCCATGAAGGCCTAAAAACAAGTCTGAGAATCTGACGTCTAAAATTATATCCACTGTTCAAAGCCCACAGTTCAATCTAAGGAAAAAATCTAAATTATCAGTTTATACGATGCGGCATTAGTGCCATTATAGATATATATATTTATATAAATTGTATAAATTTATATTTATATAAATTGTCAATTTCCACCAAAAAACTTGGACATTTCTGAACTTGAAATTATTAGGAAAAAATTAGGATATGAAAAAAATGTGAATATTTCTGAGATTGAAAAATCAAAAATTTGCTAGAAAAAATCTGAAATTTTGAGACAAATGCCACAAATTTTCAAAGGTAAAAATTTTGTCCAAGATTAATAATAAATAATCTTAAATTTTATCAATTTAATAGCCAGTTTCAAATTTACACATGCTATGTTTTACATAGAAAATGATAAAAAAAAAGAAGTCCAAAGCTCAGTTTGACATCAACACTCTTTGGTGTGGAAGTTGTTACTGCAGGAAGACACTTTTTATGTGCCAGTGCTTCGCTCGTCACTGTGGGAGGACGGTGTGAATAGAACGGGTCAAATTCAGCAGAGATGGAAACAAAACGCAGCACAGCTTCCATTAATGAGATGCATGCAAGGCGACGCTATCAGATTCCTCCCGCCAGAACAAACACAACCTTCTGCTTCAGTGTCGGATATAAAATCTGTTCCCGTAACCCTGAATCAGCCTCTCTGGGGCAGATTCTTCCAAATTTAGGGCTTCATGTGCCTTTAGATGTTTCCATGGCAGGGAAATGATCTGCAGCCTTCATCAAAGAAAAGGTTTCACTCCAGGCATGTCGGGTTTGATCTTCAGAGACCGTCTGAGAGCCTTCATGTTGCCTTGGTCTTGTGAAGCGACTTGATTCATGTCAGTTGAAGCTTTTTGAGCTGCTAGTGGAGATCAGAGAGACTTTTATGAAATGCAGACCTTTTTTAGTGCCTCTAAAGTTTGACTTCAATCACATGGACTTGTGCGTCTTTCATCGGGTGATTTCTACTCAGTCGCCTGCAGACGCCATGCTGAACTTCACCGTCATTTTGTTGTTTTTCTTCTCCAAAAGCTGCAACTCTCGCCCTAAAACTAGATTTCTTTCAGCCTCTAGTTGGTTTGTAAGTTTTATTGAAAGCGTCGAAACATAGACAGAGGACAGGTTTTACATCATGAGTTCTCCTCCAGTTCTTGTTCTGCGGCAGAGCCGTGTTAAATGTCTGACAGGAAACGTCTTTCCAGGAACGTTGGAGGACAGAATCATAGACGGCCGTTTTACCAGCCTGTAAACGGCTAACAGGCCTCAGCTGTAAACATGGAGGTTGCTTCCTCTGACGGTTGATGCTGTCGCCTTATGTGTCTCCTGCCAACACTTTGGTCTGAGTGCTGCGTTCAGGAACATCTCTGTTTGTAGCAGAGATAATTGTAGCTTGGTGCTTAGCATTTTTGCTAACTTTCAGAGCGTTTAGCATTATTGGCGTCCTCTAAAATGAACTCTTTCCGATAAATACTAATGCGCCTGTCCGATAGAAAACATGAACTGACCTCTGAACTGAATTGAGAGTCAGAATTTATTCAGACGAAAAGGTCAAAGTTTTTAGACCTTCTTTAGTTTCGGACTCCAGGTTTTCCGTCTTCGGTCAGCCTGAAGTTTTCCATCAGGCTGCTGGAGAAAAACTGCAAACTCGGCCCCCGCTGGCCGCCTTCTGTCCACCTTCTGTCCAAATATTGACTTTTCGCACTCGGCACAGAGAAAAGTTGTGAATGAACCTCTTGAGAGTCGATGCATTTGTCAGCACTCCAGGCATCAAAGCCTGAAATAAATGCATTTTAATGGCTGCTGCATAAAAATGGCAGCTTTTAATTTAAGCAAATATCAGGAAAAACAGCAACATTAAATGAGTTTCCATGACAGCAGTTAGGCTGTCTTTGTGCTGATTGGCTGTTGGGGAAACAAGGAAAAATCATTTTCTGGTCATCGGTCACAAACATCTAGAGGTTTTAGTTCCAGTCGGTTATAAAGAAGTGTTTGTTTTCATATCTGCTTAAAGTCAAATAGTTGACATATTTTCAGTGAGTCACACTCTGCCTCCAGGTTCTCCTCCCTATGACGGAGAATCGGACCCGGACTGACAAGGTTACAAGAATAAAGTCGTGATATTACCGGTGAATTATTGTTGCATGATTATGACTTTACTCTGGTATTCCTACATCAGAAGGCATGAAGCTTTTACATATTTAATGCTCTGTGTTTATTATTCAGACTAAGACTAAAAAATACATTTATTTATTACCGAGCATCTGGTCCTTCTAGTGCAACATATGGCCCAACATCCCACACCAGTCTGACTGGAAGTAAATCTGATGAGTTCAGGCTGAATGTCTGCAGCCGCAGCAATCTGTCGCAGGGAGCTTACAAGGTGAGCCAAGGTCGCTGCAGAGGAGGGGACCAGACAGAACCGGGCCGACGGAACCGGGCCGTCTGCAGACGGAACCGGGCCTGGTTCTGCTTGGGTTTTGGGCCGTGTGCGCTGGGTGGCATTGAGGCCTCCTCCAGCAGAGCTGCTGTGGTCAGCAGGTCGTCAGAACAGTGAGGCTGGATCTGGCGGTCCGAGCGGGTTCTTGCAGGCCCGGTGGCTCAGTGTCAACATTACTCTGCAAATTAGTTTCTGCTTTGCTTAGTGTTTTAAAAGTACTGTTAAAATCAGCCTGGTGGGCCACCAGGCTTTTCTTGTGTCCCCGCCAGGCTCAGTATTCTGTTTATTTCAAGTTTTATTTTAATATTTTATAGTAGGTGTTTAAATATTAATGATCCACTAATCAGAAATTGTAAATTTGAGTGACTGTTTAGTACTTAGATGAAGGTTCATATGCTGTCTGGAAACGAGTTTTAAGTACATTTTCTCCAATGATTGTTTTAGTTTATTGACATTTATAAGTTTAAAAGTGAAAATAAAAACTGAAATCCAGAGAAAAACTCCTGAATGTTCAAATTTATAAAAACTTAAAGACTAGAGAATGATGGGCAGAGAGGGACTGATATTGCAGGATATTTGTGTCCGTCTTCATGGCCGGTTCATCCATCCTTTCATCCATCCGTCCGTCCTTCTATATGTTCATCCATCCATTTGTTCATCCAACATCCCATAATAACAGTGAAACATGGTAGTGGCAGCATCATGCTGTGAGGAAGTTTATAGGAACTATAACCAAACCGAAGGTTCTCCTTCCAGTTGCCCAGCAGCAGCTGGCTCCTAAATGGCTTAAATCACAGCAGAATATGTTAGAACGGCCTAGTCAAAGCCTAGCTCTCTAAAACAAAGGCTGACACGCTCTCCTTCCAGTCTGACTGAGATGATGTGCAGATCAGATCCCAGTAAATTGAAATGATGTTTATTTTGGTTGTAATGTGACATCATAGCAGCAGCTGATGACCTCTGACCCCACTGTCTGTGCCTGTGTGTGTTCAGGCTCTGGATGTGGACCGCAGCGTTCTCTACAAGATGAAGAAGTCGGTGAAGGCCATCTACACGTCCGGCCTGGGTGAGTCGTCACGGCGATTCTCACTTCCTCCAGACGCAGACCGACCCGATTCAAACCCGAAACCTCAAAAACGGGTCGAAGCACGTCAGAACTTCTGCTTTCCTACCGAGAGAGAGAGTGTGTGTGTGTCTGTGTGTGTGTGTCTGTGTGTGTGTGTCTGTGTGTGTGTGTGTCGGGGTGTGTGTGTGTGTGTGTGTGTCTGTGTGTGTGTGTGTTTTGTGTGTGGGTGTGTGTGTGTGTGTGTGTGTGTGTGTGTGTGTGTGTGTGTGTGTGTGTGTCTGTGTGTGTGTGTGTGTGTCTGTGTGTGTCTGTGTGTGTGTGTGTGTGTGTCTGTGTGTGGTGTGTGTGTGTGTGTGTGTGTGTGTTGTGTGTGTGTGTGTCTGTGTGTGTGTGTGTTTGTGTGTGTGGGTGTGTGTGTGTCTGTGTGTGTGTGTCTGTGTGTGTCTGTGTGTGTGTCTGTGTGTGTCTGTGTGTGTGTGTGTGTGTGTGTGTGTCTGTGTGTGTGTGTGTGTGTGTCTGTGTGTGTGTGTGTCTGTGTGTGTGTGTCTGTGTGTGTGTGTGTGTGTGTGTGTGTGTCTGTGTGTGTGTGTCTGTGTGTGTGTGTGTGTGTCTGTGTGTGTGTGTCTGTGTGTGTCTGTGTGTGTGTGTGTGTGTGTCTGTGTGTGTGTGTGTGTCTGTGTGTGTGTGTGTGTGTCTGTGTGTGTGTGTGTGTGTGTGTCTGTGTGTGTGTGTGTGTGTGTGTGTGTGTGTCTGTGTGTGTGTGTGTGTCTGTGTGTGTGTGTGTGTGTGTCTGTGTGTGTGTGTGTGTCTGTGTGTGTGTGTGTGTCTGTGTGTGTGTGTTTGTGTGTGTGGGTATGTGTGTGTGTCTGTGTGTGTGTGTGTGTGTCTGTGTGTGTGTGTGTGTGTGTGTCTGTGTGTGTGTGTGTGTGTGTGTCTGTGTGTGTGTGTGTGTGTGTGTGTGTCTGTGTGTGTGTGTCTGTGTGTGTGTGTGTGTGTGTCTGTGTGTGTGTCTGTCTGTGTGTGTGTGTGTGTCTGTGTGTGTGTGTGTGTGTGTGTGTCTGTGTGTGTGTGTGTGTGTGTGTGTCTGTGTGTGTGTGTGTGTGTGTGTTCTGGTCTCTCCCTCTGCAGGGTTCTGATAGAAAACCCAAACAATTTGCTGAGCGGGTTTGTTTTTCCAGAACTGAGCGCGCTCAGTTCAGGCCAGAGGGCTGTTTGATTCAGACAGCTGGGGGGGAGGGGCACCATGGCAACCATGTTTGATGGCGGCCATGTTCTGTACCTTTCACCGGGCAGTCAGTGTTGTCATCAGTGTCATCAGTGTTGTCATCAGTGTCATCAGTGTTGTCATCAGTGTCATCAGTGTCATCAGTGTTGTCATCAGTGTCATCAGTGTTGTCATCAGTGTCATCAGTGTTGTCATCAGTGTCATCAGTGTTGTCATCAGTGTCATCAGTGTTGTCATCAGTGTCATCAGTGTCATCAGTGTCATCAGTGTTGTCATCAGTGTTGTCATCAGTGTCATCAGTGTCATCAGTGTCATCAGTGTTGACGGTCCAAACATTTCCCCGTCTGTGGAAAGTTTTCACTCCACCTGAGGTCGTCTGGTAGAAACTGTCATGGCCGACAAAGCTGCCCCGGCTCTGGCCCGGTTCCAGTAGCAGCAGAATATTCCAGTTCATCCTCTAAACTGATGCGTAGCTAGAGAGACGTGTTGCCCTGGCTGAAAAACGCATCACAATATAAGCATTTCCGAGAGTTATTGATTCATTTTTGTCTTAAATATTTGAAATATTGGCAGACTGGCAGCCTGACCTTTGCTGTTTTATCCACAGTTTTTTATTTTTAAGTAGTTGTGACGCACAGCTGCAAAACCTGAAACTGCTGCTGCGCAAGTCACTGAACAGTTTGTTGCTAGGTAACCAAAGAACGAGTAAGTTGCTAGGTAACAACTTACATAACCATGTCATTATCAAAATGTTCGTTGAAAATGGTCTAAAAACAGCAATATTATCATTTATCGCCCGGTTCATGTTTTCTTGGTTCCTGCAGTTTGACTTGAAGATTCTCGCTGGAATGCAGCTGCTTGTGTCAGAGTGAAATTGTTTCAGGAACCCAGAAGCTTTTCTGTTTAGCTGCTCATAAATCTCAGCGGTCTGGTTACACTGCAGTGATTTCATAAAATAACGTTTTTGTACGTTTTGCTGATGAAACTGCACTAAGCTGAGGCTCCAACCCTCCTCAGATTTATGGGCAGCAACAGTTGCGTCTTTACAGACGTCGCTGATGTATTTCTGGGTTAAAGATTCATGAAGTTCGAATTATTGGATGCTTTTCCACCTCAGGCGATAAGGACTTATTGATATTTTGTGGTGTTGTTGTATTATGCGAAAAGTGAAAATAATAATAATTTGTTGCATGTTTTTTGGGTAACAGTGTGACTGTAACTCATTATTATTGTCCCACAAACACAAACATGCTTCTGGAAAACATTCCCGTTTCTAACGCGCTTTTTCAGGACCGCAGTCACAGAAAGAAGTTTGATTTGCTTCACCAAACTGCTGCTAATCATTCACTCGGCTCAATGTACTCTTTGGATGCAACTTTGCAGGATTTGACAGACAGAAACTTTGTTCATGTCATTGCTAAACTCTGGAAACAAAAAGAAAAACTGTTGTGTTGCACAGAGAAAACAAATAAAGATTCTGCTGGGAGTCTGACTGTAAATCTGAAACCCAGCAGGAATATTTCACCTTTTGCATGAGGAATAATGAGAATATTTCAGGTTGTAAAAATAACAATTCAAGAGTCTGCAGGAGCTGAGTCAGCGATGAAAGCAGCAGAACAAAAAGATAAAGAGGCTGAACTCTCCTGGAAGATTGTTGATACTTTTATGCAACAAAAAGTCAGAATTGTGTTTGAATTTATTTCCGGACAGCAAACAATGTAAACTTTACCAACTCACAGAAATCAAAGTTTCCCTTTAAAAGCTTCTGGTGCAAATTAATTTTGCACTTTGCAGCTTTTCTAATCTGCACACAAATAGCTGCGGACATTTAAGACTTTACATTTCTTGTTTTCGCTCATCTCTGCAGAGATACGGCGTTAATCTGAGCTCAAACATTGTTCTGTAAGCGTCAGCGCGGAAGCAGAAGCCGGCCTGTTGTCCCACGATTAAAGCTGTTAAGAAGCTGCAAAGCAAACTTTTGGGACGTTGGATAATCCTTTGCAGATGCCTCTAAAGCTCTGCTCTGTTTGTCTTTCTCCCTCGCTGCTATGCAAACTGATAAAACGTAAGTTGCGTTTGCAGCCCAGCGTTACTGTATGCAGTGAAAGCAGATCGTTGTTTCACAGAACGTGGGAGCTGAGGGTGAACTTTCTGCTACAAACTTTACCGTCGATCATGACTCAAAATCCCTTTAATCCAAAGTATGAATCTCACATTCAGGCTCACAGTTTTAGGATGTTTATCTATTTACCACTACAAATGAACTGATTTATAGTAACAAACTTTCCTCCAAGCTGCCAGAATGAAACTGAAGTCTGTTTGAATAAAACTATAGTTTATGACTCTGAAATTGATGAAGGCGATTTAGTAACTAAATCCTCTGGAACCGTCTGCAAGAGGAAGAGTTCCAGCACTGCAGTTTGAAAGAGTCTGATTTAATGAAAGTTTAACTTCAGAAGCGTGAAAGGACTCCAGGTTTCAGAAACAAGCTGGGCTTATGCTGAACTCGGCCAGAACGTCAGGGACTAAACGCTGGCGCCGCTGGCTGAGGCGTCACATCGCTAACCTGATGCACTGGTGACGTTTTCAGGAGCTCCACTGCGAGTGGATTAGCTGTAATTTGTCCACTGTACTTGTGGTGGATTATTGTGCAGTGTAATGACTGACCTCTGCCCTCTGACCTGTTACTGCGTGCGTTTGTCCTCCAGCCCATGTGGAGAACGAGGAGCAGTACACTCAGGCGCTGGAGAAGTTCGGGGAAAACTGTGTGTGCCACGACGATCCCGACCTGGGCTCAGCCTTCCTCAAGTTCTCCGTCTTCACCAAGGAGCTGACGGCTCTCTTCAAAAACCTGGTGAGCGCGTGTGTGTGTGTGTGTGTGTGTGTGTGTGTGTGTGTGTGTGTGTGTGTGTGTGTGTGTGTGTGTGTGTGTGTGTGTGTGTGTGTGTGTGTGTGTGTGTGTGAATAAAACGTCTCTGGATCCCAACACGTGAACCGTTCTCTCACAGAAATCCAGCAAAGGTTGTGATTAGATTCTCATCTCTTCCTGAATTAGAATGAACATTTCACTGGTTTCACTGGTTTCACTGGTTTGACTGGTTTGACTGGTTTGACTCCAGCAGTTGCTGAGTTTTGATCTGTAAAATTTCTTCCTCCAGTTCCAGAACATGAACAACATCATCACGTTCCCCCTGGACAGCCTGCTGAAAGGAGACCTGAAGGGCGTCAAAGGGGTAAAGCTGCTGCTCACTGAAGGTCTTAATGAAACGTAGAACTTTATTCTAGAACCGCCCGGGTTCTGAAGAACCAGAACGGGTTCTGAGGTTCTGAAGAACCAGAACGGGTTTGGAAATGAACCAGGAAGTGATGTCACACTGCAGCTCTTCCTGTTGCTCCTTTTGTTGTTGTTTTTCCATCCGTCCATCTTTAAAGTTTGGTTTCCATGGAGATATTTGTCGTTTTTTGCTCATCCTAATTCGTCCCGTTGGGAACAAAAACCGTTATCCAAACATGGATATAAACAAGATGCATTAGAAACGTTTCAGAAAATGTGGAATTATATTAAGTCACATGAAAGTTTTTACTTACGAAGAAAATAAATGTAACGAACAGCTGGAACATAGAGGTCCAAAGGAACCGAAGGGTTTGAGGACCGGATGGCGGCGCAGCAGAGGGATGTGAGGCTCTTAACTGGATAAAATGACGGTGAAATGATCCAGACCTGCTCAGATTCTGCTGCCTGTCGGACCCGCCTGACACTTTGGGAGCCGAGTGTCCAGCAGCCAGGCTGACCCTCGTCTGCAGCTCCGTAATCCAATCGCGGCTCGTTACCGTCCCTGACCTTTCACCCCAGAGACACATGATTGGCTTCGGTTTCCACCAAGTTTGATGTGATTAAAGAAAGCGGTCTAACGAGCCGGTTGCCATGGATACACGTGTTGCCCTGCTGACCTCGGCTGCTTTCCTCTCGTCCCGTGACTTTTCCCCGTCTGTCATTTCCTGTCTTTGTCTTCTGCTCCGTGTTTTAACTCGGCGGCTCCTTCCTTTCCCTGGGGTTCGGCTCGGTTTCTGTAATTCTTCCCACTTATCTCTCATTACGCCTCAGATGATTCTCATAACCCGACGGGCAGCCGATGAGCTGCTGGCTGCTTTCTATTTGGACACGCATCTCGAGAAATGAGCCAGGCGAAAAGAAGACAACTGGCAGCCAATGGCCGCCTAAAACTGCTTCAATCATCCCGCCGCCTTTGGTCTGAGAAAGTGTCCAGACCTGCATGAGTAAGAGGCGGTTAAAGTGGATGTTGTAAAACATTGAGGAAGTCTGCAGAGACAAATTAACGAGATAAGGCAGCGCAGTATGTAGCCGTTACTCTTTCTGAGTCAGATTAAATTGATCTGTAATACATATTAAAACCCTGCTGCTGAAGTTTGGACACTAGATATCAAGAAATGTCCTTTTTAGGGTGAGACCTTCACATTTGCATCAGTTAATGTGGCTCAGATTAGAAAAAATGTTATTTAAGTCATGCTGCATTCACTGGACCTTGGAAATGGAAGCTGCAGCCATTTACCATCAGCTACTAAGGACTTGCACAGAAAAACCTGCTGACACAGCAGATTTCTCATGAAGTCACTAAAAAATAAAACCCTTCTTCATCTTCTGTTTTCTGCTGGAAATCTGAAGGTTTTGGGAAAAAAAAGTGCTGAAAAGTAACCAGAACATGATGATAGAAAGCTACAAGCTTCAACTGTGTAGCACGGCGGCGGCAGAGTCATGGTGTGGAGGAATTCTGGTGCACAGAAATCAAAACCAAGACTAGCAACTCATGCTAACATTATTTGACACTCAACACGGGCAGCTAGCTTAATATCTAATATTGACTAAATCTTTGCCGCAGAGGAAACGGATCTACTGTGTTCCCCCTTTCAAAATAAGAGCATAAACATCTACCACTTGAAGAATTGAAATAATACAAAACAGTTGCGTAAAATAGCACTTTAGAATTTATCAAGACTATTTAATCAGGGGAAGCTAAATCCCCTAAACGTTTTCAATATTAGCAGAACGTTAAACGGAAAGTTAGCTTAGCTGTTTGCAGATTAGCTTGAGCCCATCACTGCACAGCCTGTAGAAATGGAGATGCTTCTCCAGACCCAAAATGACCCGTTTCTCAAACCCTTACGTTCAAATCCTGTAGAAAACCTGCAGACTAAGAGGACTGATGTTGATTTAATGGGCGGTGAAGTCGACCGTCCCATAGCGCTAACACACACAGCTGTGTAGAAACATCTGCAAGGTTTAGTGTGGATCGCTTTCCTTCGCCGTCCTGCAGTGGCTTTCAGGAGCAAAACCCTGGAAGTCCTCTGCCCTCTTGGAAGCGGTTTGCCCGGCGCTCTCTGCCCTTCCCAGAAATATCTGTGTGGTATTTTTAGCCATTGTTGCCATTTTTCCCCTCTCTCTGGCTCTGACACTTCCTTCCGCTAAACCTTTCTCCTCTCTCTCAATCCCTCGCCGCCTCCCTTTCTTCCACCGTTTCCTCCTCAGCTTCGCTCTTTCACTGGGGATCAGCTCTGGTCTTTGTGCTCCTCTTGGTGAGGGACACAGGATGCTAACAGGTTGAGGTCGATCCAAGCTTACAAACCCTCAGCTCAAAGATGAAAGTGGAGGCAGATATTTTGCTGAGTCAGGATTAGTCTCCATTAAACCTTCATTAGCACTGAGGATGACTCAGCAAATACTGCTGCAGTTTTTTGTTTTCAGGATATTTTATGGCTAAGCTGCAGAGAACCTCCAGCTGGATGCAGAGCATCAGTTTCAAAATGTTGCTTCAGATTCTCTGTTGGATTTAGGTCTGGACTTTGACTAAGCCATTCTGACTGGGTGTCAATAAGTAATTAATTACATCATTTTAACGTGTTAAAAATGTAACTCAGGTGTTTGATCCTAATTAAAGTGTCCACATATGTTTAGCTATTCAGGCCTACAATAGCATCTCAATGCTAAATATGTAGCTAAAGCTAATGTTAGCATCCACAGTTCACAGTCAATGATCAGGACTTCCTGAAAGATGAACTTTTCTCCAATATGATGATTAAACAACTTGAATAAGAGTAAAACTGAGATCAAATGTTTATTACTTCAATAATTTAGCAGCCAAAATTAGTTTGGAGTTGAAAATGTTGATTATTTTGTGGATTAAAATGCGATGCAGTTAATCTGACTAGCAGGTCTAATTGAATCCCAGCACGAATTTATACATGAAGCAATTAAACACCATTTACTCTTTATCTCCAGCATGTTGTGCTGTTTGATGTTATTTACACTCATTGAATTGTCTTTTATTTCCTGTTTGGTTTTGCAGGATCTGAAAAAGCCTTTTGACAAATCCTGGAAGGACTACGAAACCAAAGTGTAAGAAAATCCATTTTTATGCCTCTAATGAACGGATGCCTTCATTTTCCTGTTAATAAACTGACTGTAATAATTGAAGTAAATGTCTAAATGTCTGTCTCAACACGTCCTTGCTGTCGCGTGGAGAAACCCGGAGTATTTATGGCACTTTTATGTGTTTTACAAGCAGCAAAGGACATTCTTTACTGAGAGGGTAACCCGTCTTCCTGATGCAGTCGGGCTTTGTGCTGACAGAGGACTCGGTGGTGTGAATGTGCCCGGCTGTCTCAGCTTATTATTTCACTCTGCTCATGGGAAAGCCGTCAGTAGAGGCCCGTTTCCTGCTTGTTTTTCTCCTTCGTCCGGGATCCTTTGTGTCTGCTTTAATAAGAACAGTTTTCTCATTCTGAGCTTTTGCATCAGCTTGTTGTGTTTCGGTTGTCGCCAGCAGACGTATTAAACACACCAACCAGAAACCTGCTTTAAAATCCTGCTGCAGGACTTTTAAGGCTGTGAATAAGTTTTCACCCTCCTGATGGATTTCAGATTATCCAAGAAATGTTTCTGAAATTTGAAAAAACGTGATTTTCTTCATAAAAGGAAACTCAAATGTGAATTTCTTTCAGAACTGTTTTTAAAATTTCTTGGATTTTCTCAGGAAACTGAGTTTGTTGTTTTAAATAAACAGCAAATTAAAAATGTTGAGCTGCTGCATGGGATCGTCTCTTTTTCTGTTAAAAATCAGCCCTAAATGCTGTCTGACCAGCAACTCGTGCTCAATTTAACTCAGAAATTAAATATTTTCTCTTATTTGGCGAGGAAACACTGTGAATTAAACCTTTCAAAATGAGATTTATTTTCTATTATTTGGAGTTAATTGGTTGGTTATTGACCAAGGGTTGTTCCTGAACTGGTTTTGTTGATGCTTCAGAGGTGTCCAAAGTGCGGCGCGGGGGCCGTTTGTGGCACTTGAAATGATTTTTTGTGGCCCCCAACTGCAGGTCAAGAATGATGCATATTAGTTTATTAATTTTTAATCACAGTAAAATTTTTATTGCCATAATTTTCTTTGAATGGAAATGTTAATTACAACTTAAATAACTTTTATAATCAGTGGAACCATATTTATCCAGATATTTTCACTGAAAATCCGACTTTGCTGCAACAAATTAGCTTTAATTTAATTCATCAGGCACTGCTAAATATATCAGTTTTCTGAAAGAGTTTGACCCAAATCCTAATTTTATAATGGAATAAATGATGAAAACTGAACCTAAAATAATTTGAAAACTAGATTTATTGTAATGCAGTAAATGTGGCTGTAGATCAAACTTCTTTATTCTGCTTTTTTATAGTTTTTTAGTTTCTATTTTCTTGGCCTGCGAGTGTTTTTGACTGTAAACTGAGGTAGCGATTAAGACTCTCCTCCAGCTGACGGTTTGCAGGGCTGATTTTTTTTATTTACATTTTTTCCACCATATGTTTCGGTTTCGGTGTTTGCGGTGCTTTGACCTGCGGCGGCGTTTCTTCCTGCCAGGACTAAAATCGAGAAGGAGAAGAAAGAGCATGCTCGGCAGCACGGCATGATCCGGACGGAGATCAGCGGGGCGGAAATAGCCGAGGAGATGGAGAAGGAGCGGCGCTTCTTCCAGCTGCAGATGTGCGAGGTCAGATTTTAAATTGGGATGATACTTAAATTCAAAATCTGACTATGGTTGACATAAGTGCACAAATGTAGGATGTATAAATGTTTCTGTCATATGGTTTCCATGCTTCACTCTGAGGGTTTTTCTTTGAAGCGTCTCTGGAGGATGAAAGTTGTGAGTCTGAACCCTGCCTGACCCCACCGCTCTGATCTGCTTCGATCTGTTTACAGTACCTCCTCAAAGTCAACGAGATCAAGATCAAGAAGGGGGTGGACCTGCTGCAGAACCTCATCAAGTACTTCCATGCACAGTGCAAGTAAGGTTCTGCAAACGGGCCGACCTGTGCGGCTCCGTCCCGTCGGTAACCTGCTGCTGTGCAGTTTCTTCCAGGACGGCCTGAAAGCCGTGGAGAACCTGAAGCCATCGATAGAGAAACTGGCTACAGATCTGCACACGGTAAGAACGCTTTTCTCTGCACCACTTCTAATAATTAGCTATTCATTATTTTGTACACTCAAAATAGAGAGTGATTGACAGCGCTAAGACCCGCCTCCTGGCTCTGATTGGCTCTTTCTAGTTAGCAGCTTGTTATTTTTCTGTCTTCTGTCAAACTGTCAGGATATGACAACAGTTTCAAAGATTGTGTGAACATTTTTCAAAATAAAATTTACATACTTTAGCTTTAGCTTTCAACAACGGTCGACGGTGAAACTCCAAATTACACAAACTTAAAAACAAAACAAATACAAACGAAAAATGCTGTAACCACAGAAAATAGGAGCAGAGGGGGAAACGCTGCAGTTAGAGAAAACAACTGCAAGTATGAAACTCGCTGCACAGAACGGAAGTCCTCCAGACCACCAGGGGGAGTCGACCAAAAAATACTTCTTCCCCCTAGTGGCCTGGAGGACTTCCGTTTGGTGGCGCAGGCTTGCAGCTCTTCATATTAGCGGTTGTTTCTGCTATTTGCTAACCTGAATTTTTCTGATCCATTTGTGATTTGGAGTTTGCATCGTTTGCAGCTGTTTGCTGTGAGTTTCCTCTTGGACCCAATGGGTTTTTTGTCTGTTTTTGAGGAAAATTTCCAATAAACTCACATAAACGCGACAACATGGAGTTTCTGATTGGGTTGTTTGTGCCTCCTGCTTTCTGCTCTGTGTTTGACGTCAGTGTTTGTTTCTGTGGGTCAGATCAAGCAGGCGCAGGATGAGGAGAGGAAGCAGCTGACTCAGCTGAGAGACGTCCTGAAAACGGCTCTGCAGGTGGAGCAGAAGGAGGTGAGGCGCATATCAAATAGTTAGGTTACAACCACAAACCTTAACCTGTTTCTCTCTGATTTCATGTCCAGCTGAAAGTAGCGCAGGAAACTTTCAGCTTGTATTTCTTCATACTAGAGGAGAAAAAAGGACCTTTAGCTGTAATCTTGGTTTATAAAGGAATAATTTATGCTCTACTGAATGTTAGTTTTTTACACTTACTCCCTAGAAACACATTGATGTTTGTGGTTATTGTTAAAAATCTTCAACATCTTTTGTAATTTTTTTGTTTCAGATTCTGTCTGTGGCGACAGTCATTGTTGTTTAATAACCTTTCCATCCACATTTGCAGAAATCTGACATAATTTTAAAGTGAAACAATGTAAAGTTTGTCCTGTTTTTCTAAAAATGTCTCCTCTCTCCTGCTGCTGCCGTCACGCCTCGTAAAACAAGGCGAGGAGAGTAAGTGGATTTGTTCCCTTCTCTGTTACTTTAAGGCTCCAGTGGTGGAATAAAACCTGCTTTGCTTTTTATTCTCTTGGTTTTGTGCTTCTTTTTTTTTTTAACACTTTAAAAACTTGTTTTTCTTACAGGAATTTTATGTGTCTGCAGACTTCAGTTCTTTATCCGTCACAAAGGAAATGACCTCATTCTTACAGAAATATTCTCTTTTCATGCCGTTTAGTGGTTTTTGTTGTGCTATAATTAAATAGGAATAATCTCATTTGTGTCCATCTGTCGATGCAGATTATCTCCTCTTTTTAAATTCTTTTGTCTGGAAACTTGAACCTAAACCAGAATGCATGAATAGACTTTAGATCAGATTTAGACTGATACCTTTTTGAGTGGTGTTGAAAACAAGAGGCCTCCAGCTGCTGGATCTCCCATATTTGCTCCATGTGTTGCAGCCGCTGGCATGGAGAATATTCCCCTTTCAACAAACGGCTTTAATTAGATACCGATTAATCTGGGAGCATCTGTCTAAAAGCTGGAGGAGGAAAAGAAATCCAGAAGAGGAGGGAGAAGGTTGTGGGTTTGAATCCCTACCAAGAACCTTCCGGCATTGATTCTTAATTCAAATTAAGAAAAAAAATGACCCAAAAAGGAAATTAAATGTTGCTATAACTCCTCCAAAATATCTCAGAAATTAGTTTAAGTATTTGTTACTTCTCCTGTTCAGTCAATTTACTTTGTATCACAAATTCAGCTGTTTAAATTAAAAACAAAAATGTCTTTCCCAAAAAATAGTTAAAAAATAAAACTATTGTGTTTAAGTGATGCTGTGGGCAGGAAAGATTTCCAGTAACAGTCAGCGTTCCAGTGAATTTGAAAAGGCCTCTGATTTAAGATGTTGCTGTAACTTTCTGACATTCAAACAAGTTTCAGGAAAAGAGACGACGTTTAACAATAATCAGTTATTTCCCAGCACTGCTAATCCACCTCCTTTGCTTTTGCTGCGACTCTTTAAATCTCCGATGGGAGGAAGTTTAACTTCCTGGAAGTGTCGATAGTTCAGGTGTTATCAGCTGTTCCCAGGTGTAAATGCAACACCTCGTCGCCGTGGTTACGCAGATTAACAACTGTATGAAAGTAAGAAGAAAAAATAAAATTATTCCTTAATCTGACATGATCCGTTTTTTTTTTGTTTTTTTTTTAACTCGGTGTTCATGGGCGTGCGTTAGTGGAAGCTCATCTAGAAAATTTGGCTGATTTAACTTGGCTTAATTTATGCGTTTTAGATTTGTCCTCCCCCCTGACGTGCCGTTTGTGCCGGCTGTGTTTTCCCAGGATTCCCAGGTGCGGCAGAGCGCGACGTACAGCCTGCACCAGCCGCAGGGCAACAAGGAGCACGGCACCGAGCGCAGCGGCTTCCTGTTCAAGAAGAGCGACGGGTGAGAGCCGATCTGCACGGCACTCCACGTTTCTTCTGCTCACGTTAATAATTAATTCATCCATATGGGACCAAATGTAAATGATTTTTAACCCAAAGTTTTTTTCTAAAGAATATGGCTGCTCAGACAGTGAGAGTGAAGCACAGTCATGGAAAGTTAAGTGGAAGAAAGAAGTTGTAGTGATACAGGTTTCATTTTGACCCCTGCTTTAATGACCCTGGTTTGGTTTCTGTACCTTTATTTACATTATTTATTCTCATGAAGAGGAAAACAATGAGCAGAACCAACAGCAGAACCAACAGCAGAACCACAGGCTGATCATTTTCCCGACTCGCTGCACCGACAGCAATTCAGGCGAAAGGAGCCCAACCAGCAACACTGTAGTTTCTTTCTTTGATGATCTGAAACATTTTTTGTTAATTATGAAGATTTTAAATTGAATCACTGAACTGTTCTAATTTATTAAGATATAACTGCGTATTTAAATGAACTTTTTAGCCTTTTTGGTTAATAATGAATCTGTTTGTCTTATGACTGAATCCTCTGTCTTCAGGTTGAGGAAAGTCTGGCAGAAAAGAAAATGCACGGCTAAAAACGGCTACCTCACCATCTCACACGGCACAGTAAGTCCAGTTTTGACCTCTGACCCCGTCACCTGCAGGCCTGTAACGTATCCCAGCAACCCAGGGAGATATGGGGCTTGTTCCCATGTTTGGACGCATCACAGGCGTCCGACTCGCAGCAGCTTATCAGATGTTTCCTTTGGCTGCGGCGGCCGCATTCCATTAAACATTTCCGCTCACTCGGCTCGTCTCTGCTAGGCTAACAGGCCGCCGGCGAAACTCAACCTGCTGACCTGCCAGGTGAAGCACAACCCTGAGGAGAAGAGGAGCTTCGACCTCATTTCACGTAGGTTTCATATCTTTGGCTTTTTGCTTTGTTTGGTTTTTGGCTTGAGTTCAGCTCTTATCAGCGTTTTTCCCACAGACTTGGGTCTCTACTGTCACTGTGGAGAGTTGAGTTTAGTTCAGCAGCAGCAGAAGTTCTGATTCACATGATGGCAAGATAACACAGAGATGATAATGAGCTGAATTACAGCTCAATAATTTCACTTTTTCATTCGGTGGGTTGGAAAACAGAGTTTATTCACAAATAAGGTTCATTTACTTCACTAGATTTTATGTGATGAATCAAAACCAATGATGCATAATGTGAAGTGGAAAAAAATGACACATTTTTATTAAAACTCCATACATGCAATATTCATTTGTATTGATTATATGCAGATGTAAATGTCTTTATTTTTATTAATTTTGATAACAAATGCTAAAGCGCTGACCATAAATAATTGTTTTGCTGACACTAAAGCCCTAAACCAACATGGTATTTAGCAGCAGCTAACGCTAATGCATTATTTTAGCTAGTGCTAAAACACTACCATGTTGGTACCCAACATCCGTCACCACATAGTATATTAATCTACTTAAAGTGTCTTTTAAACAGCCGAGTAAATTAATGCTTCATAAATTTATTTTATAAAAATACCTTATGGGAAGCTAAACTTCAAAGTTAGCTAAAACACTAACTGTAAAGATGAAGCTGTGCTATTAGTGCCTTAGTGGAAATGAGCCCACCACGCTGTAGTTGTAATGTAACATAATGTGAAACAAATGGAGGAATGTGACTTCTGCATATTAATGTAAGGTTTTGTTTGATAAAGAATGGATGTAGCTAGCTTAACAGAAATGTTTGACTAAATTAAATGCGTTTTGTTTTCGTTCTAGATGACCGAACGTATCATTTTCAAGCTGAGGACGAACAGGACTGTCAGATGTACGTCTGTTCCCTCATTTCATCCTTTTTCCATCTTTCCCAACACTTTCTATCAAACCCAGCTTCCCTCTTCTCGCCTTCTTCTTTTCCCACTGAACTCTAAATCTGCTTTATCGTTTTATCTCCTCGCTCCAGCTGGATCTCAGTTCTGCAGAACAGTAAGGAGGAGGCGTTAAACCAGGCGTTTAAAGGCGACCACCGTGTTGGCGAGAACAACATCGTTCAGGAGCTGACGAAGGCCATCCTGGGGGAAGTGAAGAGGATGACGGGGAACGACGTGTGCTGCGACTGCGGAGCGCCCAGTGAGTCGCAAAGATGAACACGGAAACCCTCCCATCGCTGAGGCTCACATAGTTATGGAAACAAATGAACAGCTTTGGACAAATCCACATTTACTGTTCATTGATAACAAGATGAACATTAAATGTTCATTTACTTATTCATTTATTGGCCTGTTTAACTGCTTCTGGGAATCTTGAGGAGAAAACAGTGTCAAAATAAACAAGATAAAAAACTAAAGTGTCATCAGCATAGAATGAATGTGTAATGCTCTGTCTAAGGTTGTTTGCACCTCATATGGAGAGAAAAACATAATTTTCTAGCAGCTAAGAGCACTAAATGTTTTCACATGCTAACTGAAAACATTAGCAGAACCGTGGCCACCATTCTGTAGTTGATACGTGAATAAATGTAAACAAATGAATGGATGTGACTAGTTTTGGATTTTAACGTAAATGGGTTTTAAAAACAGAAAGCAGGAGCTGCTTGACATCAGGAGCTTTGATCACAATTCAAAGCTTTCAGCTTTTTCTGAAAAACCTCAAAGTTTTCTCAGAAATTCTGTCTATTTTTAGATAATCTTGTTTTTGCTCCTCAGATCCGACGTGGTTGTCCACCAACCTGGGCGTCCTCACCTGTATTGAATGTTCAGGGATCCACAGGGAACTCGGAGTCCACCACTCTCGGATCCAGTCTCTCACTCTGGACGTCCTCAGCACCTCGGAGCTCTTGGTACAAACATTCTCCTTTGTTCTGTTTCATTGATTTTTTTCTCTGTCAGTGTGGAAACAATGAGGTCAATAAGAGGCTGCAGCATCCTCAGCCTCACTCTTCCTCTCGATATGAGGATAGCTGTGATTGTGTTAGGCTTTTTTTAAAATCACGGTTTGCTGCAGAGATTTACAGCCTGTGGGACGTCTGGGATTAAACGCTTCCAGTCAGGATTGCTTTAAGACGCCACAGTCAGACGCGGCTGGCTCCTCTGTCGACGCTCAGGACAGGGGCGTTAGCCGCACTGCTGCACTCGGTTCAGGAAAACGACTCGGTTGAATTTATCTGTGTGTGTTTTTGCTCCACAGCTGGCCAAGAACGTGGGGAATGCAGGCTTTAATGAAATCATGGAAGCTTGTTTAAATGCTGAAAATGTGGTGAAACCAAACCCAGCGAGTGACATGTAAGTCTGCTCCACTGGCTCTGTGGAAGATAAAGATTAACTGACAAATTTCACTTAGTATTTAGAGTTGGGTATTAAATAGTTATAACTGCATTTAGTAGAGTGATGTAACACATCAGAGTTCATGTAAAGTGTGGAGGGAGAAACCACACATCTGAATGTTTGCTCAATACTGCAGAGGTAGAAATCACACAATGCAAAACACAAAAATGTGTAGAAAGTCCAAAATGTTCTCATTTATTTGTAGGCATGACGATGTTTATATACTGATACAAACAATTGTCTTTTTAAGATTGGTTTATGATCTTGTAACAAATAAACAAAACAAAACAGGTGTGAACAAATGTATAACGAAACTGAATGAAAACAGGTTTTTAAGATACTGATCTTTTATCATGATCTTATAATTCGTCTCTCAGTTTGTGACTGAATGTGAATTGTTCGGAGCGGTGAACCTCGTTTTCATTGAGTACTTATGTCACTGCTTCCCTTCACCAGGCAAACCAGGAAAGACTTCATCATGTCCAAATACATCGAGAAGCGTTTTGCCAGAAAGAAGGGCGCCGACGCGGCGGCGCGGCTCCACACGTTGTGCGAGGCGGTGAAGGCGAGGGACATCTTCTCCCTCATCCAGGTGTACGCCGAGGGGCTGGACCTCATGGAGCCGATACCGCTCGCCAACGGACATGTAACGGCACAAAGCATTTCAGGTTTTCTTCGCTTGTCCTCCATGTTTCTAATGGCGGTTTCTCTTCAGGAACAGGGAGAGACGGCGCTTCACTTGGCCGTCAGGCTGGTCGACAGAACGTCTCTTCACATCGTCGACTTTCTCACTCAGAACAGGTAAACGGAGAGAAAACGAAACGCTGCAAGGTTAAAGCTGCAGGATGTAACTTTCATAAAAAATGTTTTTTTAATATATTTGACAGTTTGTGAGGCAGGTAATTGTAAAAGGATCGATCTCCTTCATCTCCTTCGCCGTCTCAAAAAAATGCTCCAAAAACAACCAATCAGAATCATGAATTCGCTGCTAAATGTGCTAATGATGGAGAAACGACTCACTGTCGCACGAAATCTGTTTATCCAATGGAGGCTACGCTAACAAGCTTTAGAATTCATGTCAGGCTTTGCTGGCTGCAGTGTGGTAGATTGTGATTGACAGCGCTAAGACCCGCCTCTTGTCTCTGATTGGTTGTTTCCAGTTAGCACTGGGAGAATGCAAAGTAGATCAATATTTTTACAGATTATCTGTTTCCAGTTTAGTTGACTTCAGACACACAAACTTCTCCAGTGTATGGGTCTAAAAAAAGGTATTTTTGTAGGTTCTTGAATCATTCAGAGAGTAAAGTGTTTATTTTGTTTCCTCTGTAGTTTGAATCTGGACAAGCAGACGGCCAAAGGCAGCACAGCGCTGCACTACTGCTGCCTGACTGATAACAGTGAATGTCTGAAGCTGCTGCTGAGAGGAAAAGCCTCCATAGATATTGGTAAGTTCAGCATGTTGAATTTCTTCAGAAGAATAAATCAGGTTCCCACACAGAGAACAAACCCTGCTGGCCTTTTCCCTCACAACACTCATGATTGTGCTCTAAAATCAACAAAACAGCCAGATAACAGATTCAGAGAAGCTGCTCAGTGTGGGAAGTAATCTGGAAATGGCTTAATTACACAGGAGAGAAAATGGGCAGCATGTTTGTCCTCGTCTGCAGGGGAATTAGAGAGCAATGCCACACTACTACTGTTTTTATTTCCACTTTAAGCGAACGAAGCCGGCGAGACGCCGCTGGATATTGCCCGGAGACTCAAACATGCTCAGTGTGAGGAGCTGGTGAGTATTAAAACCTCCGCCACGCCTCCGACCTGCAGGAGCTGCCAGCAAACCATGTGTGTGTTTACAGCTCAACCAAGCTCTGGCAGGAAAATTCAACGCTCACGTCCACGTTGAGTACGAGTGGCGCCTGAAGCACGAGGACCTGGATGAGAGCGATGAGGATCTGGATGAGAAGGTGAGAAAAACGTCCTAAAATGTCAGGATTATGACTGTTCATTTGGAAATTGACATCACAAATATAAATCTTAAAATGACTACATTGAATCCGTTGATTTCCAATATTGTGTTTGCATTTCAAAATGATTAAATATCAGAGTTATGACACTGAATCTCTATATGAGTTATGACTTTTAACAGTAACTTAACCCAAATCAACAGTCTTTGTAAATAAACTAATAAATTAATCTTAAGGGGTGAATTTACAGTGAAGATACTTACAAATGGTGAGATTTTTGTGTAAATGTACTTAATTTTGCAACAATTTATGTCTCAATGTTATGGATGCATAATCCTTGGTTTCAACCTCTTCCAGCCGAGCCCCCATCGGAGAGACGACCGTCCCGTCAGCTGTTATGCCCCCAGCAGTAACTCCCACCTGCAGTCCGGTCTGGGGCCCACCGGCCGGGACGGAGCGGGCCTCAGCAAGGACAAGCACCGCCTCTTTATGCCCAGCCTGGTGAACAACGAGACTTACGGAACCATCCTGAACACCGGCGCCCCTCAGTCGGCCTCCACCTCTGCCCCTCCCCTGCCCCCAAGGAACCTGGGTAAGACCTGGTGTTGACAGAATTACAGAACCAGGACGGGCCAGAAATATCTAGATGTAATTTGTGAGAATAAATGTAATGAGATAAAGTACAGATAAGCATGAAGTTCCTCCATTCCCATCTCTTTCAGCCCAATCTGTGGGGGGAATCGGTCAGTCTGCCACCTCCAGCACCTGGAAACCCGGTTCTTTAGACCTGGTCAGCCGGCAGCGGTCGTCCTCAGACCCTCCCAACATGCATCCTCCTGTTCCCCCAATGAGGCTCACTTCTACTGGAGGTATGAACCTGAGATATGAGACCAAATTACCATTATTTATTGTCCAATTTGGAAAAGTCAGTCTGTAACACAACAGACTCAACTCACCTCCAGAGTCCACACAATACAAAAACATTACAAGTCAACAAACATAATTTAAAAGAAATTTGATCACATGAACTTTGACCAAACAAAACATATAGAATCCTTGTCTGTGATGCGTTCAAGCCAGGCGACTATTGGAGATGTTAAAAATGACTTAATAAGACTATTGACATATAAAAACAGTCCTGGGAAATTACAGCCATTGGTAGCTATTCTAGCCTGCAAGTACATCTGTTTATTTTATTTTTTACATGATCCCTTTATCAGTTTTGTAAATTATTTTTGTAATTGGTTAAACTGTTCCATTCTAAACTCTGATGACATGCTAATGTTAGCATCACTATTATTGCATTTTAGAAAATACAGTCAGATTCAGTTACCTTTCGGAAAAATAGGTGTTATTTTTCATAAAAAACATATTTTTGTATTAAAGTTTTGTTTGTTTGATGAAATGTTCTGATCTGAAATGTCTTGTCAGTAGCTGTGGATGATAAACTAACACAATGAACCAAAAATGAATAGAGGAACAAAAAATTGGACTCAACTAAGATCAGCACTGCATCAACATACTTTTACTCAAATGAAAGTAAAAAGTATCCATCTAAGAAATTAGGAAATGGAAAGTATTTGGTAGGAGGGTTTCAAATCCCTCTTTGCAGCGTCATCTCCTGAAGTATCGAAGCTTCCTGGTGAAGTAGAGTCTGATCTGCATTCAGTCACACATTCACTGGTTTCCATTATCTTCGAAAGAGTCCATTGTTGAGAGGTTCGTTATTCTAAGATCTTGTTCTGATGTGGGTTGCAGGTCTGGGTCCCGCCCCCATAGCCAAGATGGAAGCCATGAGCATCCAGTCCAAGTCGGGTCAAGGTCCGCTGGGGACCCGGTCAGTGCCACCTAAATCCCCTGCTGGGTAAGAACAAAACGAAACGGTGGAGTCATGTAAACATCACGGCTCTGACTTTAATGTAATAAATGTGCAGCAGTGCTGCTGGAATCTTGAGTGGTAAACTGAATATTTATTTTACTTCCAGCAATGATAAAAGCTTCAGCCGAGGATTCCTGAATCAAAGTGAGTCTGTAGAACGAGCAGGTGAGTAAATAAACAGGAAGGCACCAGATGACAGAATGCAGCTTGTCTTACATCTGTGGAAGTTTTTCCACCTTCCCTTTGAAAGTGTGGAAGGTTTTGCTGTTTGTGTGATGTAGTTTCCTGTTTCCTGTTCCAGCTAAGGAAGTGCCAGGATGCCCCCAGAACTCGGTGCCTCTGGCCTTCGTGTCAAGGAAAGCATTTCCAGTAAGTCTTTCATTTGTCTTCATATTCATCCGAGTTGTATTTTGGTTAATTGTTTATTTTGTTCCACAGCGTGATCATATTGTCATTTCTTTTCTTTATTTGTGTTTTGTAATCTTTCTTCTTGTTGCTCCAGAGTTTATATTGACTTCCTGCCCATTAAATCTGCTTCCTGTAGTCCACATGTGGCTTTTGACTAAGACCGTCCTCTCTCACTTTGAATAAAGAAGCTGTTTAGGCCCAGTTTGTAGAACATGCAAACATGGAATATCTGTTTGTTCCTCTTATTTTTAAACACAATAACCAGGCTGATAAAAACGTCCCTTTGTTTTTGTTCTTGTTGTCTCAGAAGCAGAGACCAAAGCGGGTGAAGGCCATCTACAACTGCATAGCTGACAACCCAGACGAGCTGACGTTTTCCGAGGGCGAGGTGATCGTGGTGGATGGAGAGGAGGACCAGGAGTGGTGGGTTAGTATCGTTCAAGTATCGTATTGTTTCATGTTCCCATGAAATCACAAAGTGTGGCCAGACCGTGTGACCCTCTCGGACCTCTTTAGAGCCACATTGGCTGAAATAAAAAAACTGACCTCATCCTAGCCAACACCACCCACACACTTTCCCAACCTCGTCCTCCTCTTTTTCCGCCCGCTGTTGCCGATTCCTCTGTTAGCTGCAGTCTGTTTTCATCTAAGCCACGTATGGAGATGTGATTGCATTTAATCAATCTCCCTTTCTGTAAAACTAACAAAATTTGTGTCAAACATTTGTGGTGGTTTGTGTTGATATTTCAGAGATATTAATAAATGTTTCCAGAGGTCATCATTAATATCTTCGAGGTAAAAGCAGCATAAATTTTTGTTGCATAAACCAGCACAAATGTAGCTGAGTTGATTGTCACCAAAGTTGTTTGATTTTGTAGATTTGAGGGAGAGGGTTGACCTCTGGTGACTTTTGGATACTATTTTTGTTAATATCTTTTAAGTGATACCAGCACAAACAAAACATTTTGCTGCACTAATGGAGTTGATTAATACTAAGGTTGTCTGAGTGAAGTTTCCCTCGCCCACCTTCTTCAAATCAAACAAAATTGGTGTCAATCAACTCCACTATGTTTTTGCAATTGTTTGTGCTGCTTTTGCTTTGAAGGTATTGATGGTGATGTTGGGGCAAACATTGCATCGTTCAGTAATCTGATTGGTTTCCTGACTTGTTGCTTGTATCTGTGAACATTGCCAGAGCAGAACATGTCCCAGCTTTTTATTTTCAGGTCTAGACAACGTTTAAAATGACTTACTTTCTTCTTTACGACCCCAGGTAATATGAAAGAGGGACTCTTAGTAGTTGGAAGTTTGATGTGATCTAGACTCTGGTTGACCTGTATGTTGTTTAGATGTTCACTTCGATTCAGTTCGGCTTCAGAAAATCCTGGTTTTAGTTTATTAGGATGTGGTTAATTAAAGCAAATGATCTGCTGTGCCTTACCAAAGTATTCACACTCATGCAACATATTTAGTTTTAGTTTTAGTCAGTTCTGAGTTTTAGTCAGAAATAGATTTTTTAGCAGTTGACATTGAAGACCTCTGATCTAAACCATTAACTGGATAAAAAATTTTGCAGCGTTCAACAGGTTTTCTCCATGTTTGTTGTGTATTTAGCTCCATCCATTTTCCCTTCCACTCTCACTAATCTGAAGGAAACCATTTCCCTCTCCATGATGTAGCTGCCACCATTTACTATCAGGAATGGTGTGTTTTACAGAGTTATTTGACCTTCTGGAAATTTCTTTTCCTCAAGTAAAAATGTTACCGTCGTATTTAGTTTGTTAATATACTTTACATGCAGTGCGTCAGTCGCTGACAACCATCAATCTGTTCTTTCCGCGTCACTAATTTGTGTTTCTCTTGCTCATAAAATCTCAATAAAAATGTGGTTGTAATGTAACGTGATGTGAATACGTTTGGAAAGGTTTGAATTTAAAAGCTACTTTGGCAGTCATGAGGAAAAATGTTACTTGTAGTTGGAAGAAGAAAATGATCTGATTTCCAAAAGGTTCATAAAAGTAAAACAACAAAAACAAAAGCACTCTTAGTAGTAATTTTAAAGTAGGTAGAGCTGCTTTTGTTTTCAGTCCAAAAGTCTCAGAACCGAATTGGAAAAATAAAAAAAATAAATAAAAATAAAAAGTAGCACTAAATTTGATGCAAAAACTACAAATTACTTTGTTTTATTATATACTTTTGGATATCGGCTTGTCTTTTTTCCTTCCTGTATATTTAGCCATTTATCACATCTTAGTCAGATGATTTGGTTTTAATTAATTAGTGTTGGATCATCTGAGTGAAAATGGTGTTTCATTAAAATAACACAGTTGTGTGTGTGTGTGTGTGTGTGTGTGTGTGTGTGTGTGTGTGTGTGTGTGTGTGTGTGTGTGTGTGTGTGTGTGTGTGTGTGTGTGTGTGTGTGTGTCAGCAGGGACCTAACGTCCAGCCACATTTGTTGGCTGGTCTGGGAAAGATCTGTGAAAAGGCTTATAATGAATGTATTTTTTATTGCAACACCGTAAGAACTGAGAAATATTAGCTTTAATTAAATGAGCCCAAGATGTTTATTACTGTTCATAACCTTCTTTTGCCAGCAGGGCAGCATGGAGGCTGCAGAGGGTCTGAAAAGGTTCATTTTGTGCTTGAGATATTTATGACTTGGTTTGGCCACGTTTTGGATCCTAATAATATAATCTGCATACATTTAATATTTAATTTATTTATATTTAATGACACAATGGTATCCCAGTTTTAGTTTACAAGTCAAATCCAGGAGATTTTTATTTAAAACAGGTTTGTGACACAGATCCCATGCAGTCTATGCATGTTTATCCATTGAGCCTCGGTTCACACAGCACAGGAAATGCACCGACTTTTTCACTGCCCAGTTCCAAACTTTTCACTCTAATGGAATCTGATTTCTGCCACTTCCACATGTAGAACTGAATCACATGTAGAACTGAATCACATTGCGTTGTTTTAATTCACATTGTAAAGTCTAATTGCGATTGCATTTAATTAATAGAAAGAACGAGCATCCAGATTAAAAATAGGATATCAGCAATTAATTGTAACGAAGCATCGAGACCTGCAATGTGAAGTCTGAACATTAAAGTCCCAGTAGAGGTGAGCAAACTCTGTTTACTTTTGTGACTGTAGGATGGAAAAACTTTGACCTTTCATGCTTCCCAACCAAATGGCTTCCATTAGCATCTAATGTTTCCTATGGAGACAAGAAGATGTCACACTTTGATGCTATTGAACTTTACAGATTAGCTTCCTCTACTAGCTAGTGGCACACAAACTGTGTCGCGTCATATTTATACCCCAGAGAAATTAAAGTCATGGATTGTTAGGGGACCAATCACTGTTGGCAATTATTCCTTAAAATTTAGATTTTTCTAAATCTTCTGTGTGAGATGATGGTGCTGCAATAAAAAATACTGCTGGTGTTTTTTACATCTTCATAAATAATTGTGTGTTTTCTTTAGATTGTCCAATTCAGCAAAAGCTGTTTATTTTTCCTCCATTTGATCTTCAGCTCTTTTCTAACCTTTTTTCTATCTTTCTTCTTCACAGCTGGGCCACATTGAAGGAGATCCAATGAGAAGAGGCGCCTTTCCCGTCACATTCGTCGTCTTCATCGCCGACTGACGGACCGCTCGGGTCCTCTGGAGGCGTCACGAGATGCTGCGTTAGTCGCCAGCCATCCGTCTGAGGACCCAGGAGGTTCAGCCCCTCACTCAGAATCTAAAGAAAACCATGTTTTCCCTGAACAACCTTTGGCAATAAACAACCTATTTCCGTCACAAACCATGTTTTAACAAAATGAAGGTCACATGAACAGTGTTTGTTTCATCTCTAGAGCCGCAGTGTGCAGAGAAATCGATTTTCACACCTCCAAATGTGAACTTAGACAAATGCTTACATTCCATAGCTGCGCATGTAGATGCAGTGTTGGTAGATCTTTAGTGACGCTCCTGTGTGGAGGATTTTCCTACTGGTGCTAAATTAACCTCCGAGTCTTCTCAAGCTGCAGCCAGCAGAGCTCCTCCTCTTCCTTCCTTCCTGACTTTTGTGATGAATTTATGCTAATGCATCTCACGCACACACACCTGTTTTAGTTCCATGTTGTGGTTTACCATCGGCTTGGACTGGTATGAGATTCATCGTCAAACAGCTTTTATTTAAGCAGAAAATGATTATTACAGTCATAACTATATCTGTTCAATGTAAGTGTGAAACAGAACCTTTCAATTATCACATGCTAACACCGCCATCGATGGCTAGCTGGTCGGTGCAAAAACAAGCAGAGGAAGCAACAGAAAACTCACTCTGGTTTCAGTGGACAAGCTTTCTGTTTGCTTCTGTTACCTGCTGGTGGAATGGCACCCGGCAAGAGACTTGTATTGCCTATATTGCTAACAGCCACTGTTAGGTTATTCTGTTGATGGGCTACTAGCTCAGGTAGTAAACGCCCAAATCCAGGTCTGTACCTTTAATGGCCCAGAGCCAAATCTGCGGCAGTAACCGCCCCATTCCTTTAGATCAGACGGCAACTTCTAGACAAGTTGGTTGTTGCGTTCTTGATAAATGATGAAGGTCTTTGGTTCTCATCTCATATGAAAAGAATGAGACGTTTTGTTGGAGGTGATGAGTCGTCTGTGCAGAATGAGTTGCAAGTTAAAGAATAGATTTAAAGCTGTTGGAAAGTGAAGTAAAGTGGGAGAACTGTGGCCTTTAGGACACTGTAACAGGCTGCTTACTTTAGTCTGCTTCAAGCCTGAGACCCTCGACAACCAGCCAGGAAGGTCCTCACTGTTTGGGCTCATGAGATGTAGATGTTTTGAAAATACAGTGTAATTAACTTCATCGTAGTTGCAGAGCAACTTATTGTTCATATTGTTGATATTTAAGCATTTAACCTGAAATCGGAGCCTTCCATGGATTTGTGAATGACAAGAAGAGAATCTGTCTCTTCGTTCACTGTAAGAACTCACTGGAAACAAGATGTAATCACCTATTTATGTAAATACATTTGAGTATTTATGAGATCAGAGCGGTTAATGTCTTTCAGCAAACTGCAGCCACAAGACAAACTGTCTGATCACCACTAACATGACTCCTGATGTGCAAGGGAATGGGAAAAGTTCAACTGGAAAAATAAATTATGGAATAATGTCATAAAGCTCTGTGTGATTGTTTGGAGTTTCTAATTAACTCATTTACTGTGTAACTGCAGCCAGTTTTTCCCACCAAGCAGGCAAAAGGAAAAACATGTTTTCAAATCTTTAAAATCATGCACCAATGGCTCCCTCTACTGGTGAGAATTAAAAATGCACACATCACCTTCTCTCAAAATATGAACAAATCCAGGCCCAGTTAAAAAAATATGAAGCCAATCAAAACCCCAATAAATACATGTGGAATGCTTTGCTTAAGTATTTATACCAACACATAATGGTGAGTTTTTAAATGAAAGGGAAATATTACATAGTTTTAAACATTGAAAAGTTTTATAAGTGTTATTTTGTAAATAACACTTATAAAAGATAAATAAAATCAGATAAAATCTGGTGCAACTAATTGCCTTCAAATGTCACCCAACTGGAAAATTTACCTCTGTGTAAATACCATTAATCTGTTTTTTTAGTTTTCGACTGTTGATTCTACACTCGGCCAGATGTTTATAGTTAAGCTCACATTTTGAAGTGACGTCTGTTTTTGCAGTTCTGATTCCTTCCTTGTTCTTTCAGTTTTTTAAAAGAAACTGAGCGAGAGGCAAATATACAACAAACGAATGAAATGTACAGAAAAACACATGAACAAATAAACTTTCAACCATAAATGTAGCAAATTAGCACCACTAATGTTGGATTAGCGCTTCAGCATTAGCTTCTGCTACATATCATGTTTGGGCAGCACTATAGTGTTCGAAACAGTTTGATTAGTGCTTTCAAGTTAGAATAAGTACCATATTGGCACAGCGTGCTGGGAGAACTACTGCTTTAGCATTAGCGTTGTTTGATTAGTACTTGCTAGCACACCCACTCTACAGGAAAACATGGTAGTAGCAGCATCATGCTGTGGGGTTGCTTTTGGTTAATTTGTATAGAGAATCTGAGCTATTCAAATAAAGAAAACCAGTTTTACAAAGTGAATAACTTAAGACTGAGGTAATGGTTCACTTTCCTGCAGTATATTGCTGTGTATGGTTGGCCTAGTCAAAGCAAGGAACAAAATCTAACTGAAGCTGGATCCTTTCCATCCAATTTGACTGAACTTTAGTTGATTTTAAAGATTAAAAATCACTCAAAAATCCCACATAAGCACCACATCAAGTCATTTATTTTTTTCTCACATTTTGAGCAAAGTGAAAACTTATCGTACAACATGAAGTCAGGAACTGTAAACATGCAAATAAAACCATGTCAGAATATCTGCAGACATAATCACTGCAACAAATGAAAGAAAAACAAGGATTTGGTACCAAAGGTTTTTACCAATTAAACTAAAAATTAAAAAAAGTTTTAAAAGTGACTGACTGTACCAATACTGTCATGAGTAAAACACATGATCATCGTTTCCTCAAGAGGAGTGACCTTTGAACTTGTACCATTGTTTTGGTGCGGATTAATGTTTCCCATCTAAAGCAGATGGCCAAGAGCATTTTGTACCATTTAGCATTTCAATTTATATTAAAGCATTTTTTAGAAATGCTCCACTTTTTGGTGTTTAGTTTGAAAATATTAAAGTAAACAGAAATACATTCAATGGGGGTAAATAAAACACTCACAGTAAACCCGCCGACCACGGGTTGGTTAAAAATGTAAAACACTGAAAGGTGATCAGACGCAGCAGCCTGGATACCTTCTGCTACAAAGCAGGTGCATCCTGGGTAAGCTACTGCTACGCCGGCTGCTGGCGGGTGTAAAGGCGGAGCGGCGTCAGGGTTTGTTTGACGACAGGGCGCAGTCGAAAGAGGCCGACAGCACCTTGCAAATGTTCTGCGCTTGCTCCTGTTCAGACACAGACGGATCAGTTGACCCTGAAAACAAACCCCCAGCAGGTGCGTTAATATTTAAAGCCACTCACCGAGCTGCTGCACTGGTACACCCAGATGCTGCAGCGCTGCTGCTTCGTGTCGGTGGTTTTCAGAGCCAGCAGGTTCTTCCCGGCGCCCAGGCCGTCGTCGTAGCACAGCATGCGAACGATCAGGTAGAGAGGATGTCGATGCAACACGTCCTGCCCAGAGGACAAACCCACTGAATACAGGAAGGGCTACAACACTCGCTGATCAGTTACTGATTAATCACTGATCAGTTACTGATTAATCACTGATCAGTTACTGATTAATCACTGATCAGTTACTGATTAATCACTGATTAGTTAATGATTAATCACTGATCAGTTACTGATTAATCACTGATCAGTTACTGATTAATCACTGATTAGTTACTGATTAATCACTGATCAGTTACTGATTAATCACTGATCAGTTACTGATTAATCACTGATTAGTTACTGATTAATCACTGATCAGTTACTGATTAATCACTGATCAGTTACTGATTAATCACTGATTAATCACTGATCAGTTACTGATTAATCACTGATCAGTTACTGATTAATCACTGATCAGTTACTGATTAATCACTGATCAGTTACTGATTAATCACTGATCAGTTACTGATTAATCACTGATCAGTTAATGATTAATCACTGATTAGTTACTGATTAATCACTGATCAGTTACTGATTAATCACTGATCAGTTACTGATTAATCACTGATCAGTTACTGATTAATCACTGATTAGTTACTGATTAATCACTGATCAGTTACTGATTAATCACTGATCAGTTACTGATTAATCACTGATCAGTTACTGATTAATCACTGATCAGTTACTGATTAATCACTGATCAGTTACTGATTAATCACTGATTAGTTACTGATTAATCACTGATTAGTTAATGATTAATCACTGATCAGTTACTGATTAATCACTGATCAGTTACTGATTAATCACTGATTAGTTACTGATTAATCACTGATTAGTTAATGATTAATCACTGATTAGTTACTGATTAATCACTAATCAGTTACTGATTAATCACTGATCAGTTACTGATTAATCACTGATCAGTTACTGATTAATCACTGATTAGTTACTGATTAATCACTGATTAGTTAATGATTAATCACTGATCAGTTACTGATTAATCACTGATCAGTTACTGATTAATCACTGATTAGTTAATGATTAATCACTGATCAGTTACTGATTAATCACTGATCAGTTACTGATTAATCACTGATTAGTTACTGATTAATCACTGATCAGTTACTGATTAATCACTGATCAGTTAATGATTAATCACTGATTAGTTAATGATTAATCACTGATTAGTTACTGATTAATCACTGATCAGTTACTGATTAATCACTGATCAGTTACTGATTAATCACTGATCAGTTACTGATTAATCACTGATCAGTTACTGATTAATCACTGATTAGTTACTGATTAATCACTGATCAGTTACTGATTAATCACTGATTAGTCACCTAACCATTGGCTAATTAGTTGTGATTAAACAACTGATCAATTAATCGTCAGTTAACAATTGATTAGTCATTAATTGGTTAATTGTCAGCTGGATTAATTATTGATTAGTTGTAATTAATTGTTCAATTATTAGCTCATTTAGTGATCAATTAATTAATTGACTGATCAAGTCTTTTAGTATTTGATTAATCGTTGTGTTTTCATGCCAATTCCTGAAACACTCACAGCAGTAATTAAGTCAAAAATTTATAATATATGCATATAAAAATAATTTTGCATTTGAGATGGAAAACCTTCTGTCTGTAAATGTTCTGCACAGAATCAAATTCTCCCATTAAGCACCATTTATTATCCAATTACTAATTGGTTAATCCAATAGTCAAGCAGAACAGACTGAGCTGCAGAAAAGATTTTAAAATCTTTGTAAATATATTTTACCTTTGCATGTGAGAAAACTAAACTGTGTTTAGTTTTTAAAACCAAATGGTTGCTGTGCTACTCACACACTGGTCTACTGACGCCACTTTGACCCCGTGCTTGGACACTCCCAGGACCATCTCCTCATCTCCGGGAACAAACGGCAGTTTTCCATCTTGCTGTGAGGAAATGCAGAATATTTAGTTCTTACACCAAATATAACATGTTTGTTTTGCCCCACGTGGTTTCAACTTAATATTCTGTCTAGGGGTGCACTGATTTATCGGCACCGATTTATTGGTACTGATTTATCGGCACCGATTTATTGGTACTGATTTATCGGCACCGATTTATTGGTACTGATTTATCGGCACCGATTTATTGGTACTGATTTATCGGTACCGATTTATTGGTACCTATTTTCTTGAGTTTGGGAGATCAGCGATTGATCGATTCTTACTTGTGGAGCTCATCTTATCTGCAGATCTTCTCTACTTCTGCAAAGGTTTAAAAACCAACCCGTCCTCTTCTGCTCTGCATCAGAGGTTTGACTGTAAGCTCCTCCCACCAGGTCTGCATGTTGACAGGTAACAATAATCGCCCCTCTGTTGCCAACTCTGCAACTTTCTTGTGATATTTTAGACAAAAAATCGTTTGGGCCAAAATTGGAAAGGGCAGGTCAGGCTTTTTAAAGATCGGTAATCAGCCAGAAAATTGCTGATTTTGTCTCTCCTGGTTAAACGTTTGTTCGTCTGTTATAAGCCGTAGTCGCTGAATTAAATGAAGTCTTTTTACCTGCGCAGCATCGATGTAACTGATGAGGTCCAGAGGCTCCTGGAGGGTTTTGCTCATCTCAAACTGCAGGTTCTCGATGGATCCGACGTATTTCACCCGGAACTCTGCGCATGTTTCTGACGCGTTGTTTCCTGCGGGGAATCGGCTTCGGTTAGCAGACAGAACGAAACCTGCGAAAGTTTTAGCTCATCGTCACGACGTTCCCTCTGACCTGAGCTCTTGTTTGAATCGGTGTCGAGGCTGGCGACGGTGCTGGACCTGGACAGTCCTCCCAAACTGGAGTCGACGGACTGCAGAGGGACAGAGAGCTGGGTTAGAACGGCACCGGGAGGTTCTGGTTCTGGTTAACGGAGCGTGTGGTCGTGCCTTGCTCTTGGTGCTGATCTCACTGCTCTGAGAGCTGCTGCTGCTGTGCCGCTTCTTCACTTTCCGAAACATCCTTCACCATGACGACCGAAGCATCCGAAGCCTCAGGCCCGCTGACCTGCATCGCCACAAAACAAACGGATCAAACGTCGCGGTGTTCTACACCTCGGCCGTCACCAGGGGGCGCTGTGAAAGGTTGCATCACATGAGAAGAAAACGAGCAAAAACAATATTTAATTATCAATCTTTTTTACTCTTATATTTTTCTTTAAGGCCTGTCACAATAAATCAATTAATCGCATCATAAATTAAATCTGGATGCTAAAAATCTTCAGTGTAATTAGACTTTTCTTGAAGGATAATTGTTCGTACATCATTTTACTTGTTTTATTTATTTGTTTTGGATATTTAAAATGACTTCCAGCTCTAGTGTTACAGTTTATTGATCTCTGAGAAAAATGTTCTTCCATTATTAAGCCATTAAAAACAACAATATTATCATTTATCGAGATCGAGTTCTCGGACACTTTCTCGTCCAGCAACATTTATCGTGAGAGGCCTATTCTCATCAGAATTTCATCAGAATTTGTACAATAATTTTTGAAAAATAAAATAAGATACATTATTTCAATATTATTTAAATTGCCAGTTAAATTTATCGAGCTGCTTTTCTCTTCAAGCCACCAAGAGGGGTGCTCTGGGCTTTTTCTTGTCCGAAAATGTTTCTGACAAGAAAAAGCCCAAAGGAACCGTAGAACCACAAGAAATCTGGGAATGAAATAAAATATCACACATTTTCTTACAATCAAACGAGAGGATTGTTCAACATGTATATTATCTGGTAATGAAATTTTTTGCAACATAACTCAAGGCTTTTAAATAAACTGATGTAGAAAGTAGTGCGAAATTAAAAAATATTTCTAAAGTTGAGTATTTAGAAACTCAACCTTCTAAATACAAATTATTATTTGTGCAGGAAAACATCTAACTGAATGTTCTGTGTAACACGGTGGAGGGAGAGTCATGATATGGGAATGTTTTCCCTTAAGACATGAAAACTGATGTCCACAGACATTTTCTGTTGAAGTCATTTTACTGTGAAGAACAGGAAGAGCTTTCAGTTTCTAGCTGTGCATCTTATTCAGAAGTACATAAGCACGCCACACTTTTTAGATTTTTCGGAGGTGAAATAAATGAAAACTGTGTTACTTCCAGAGTCTGCACTTCTTACTACACTGATGTCTGAGGCTGGATCAAACTGCATGTCCGTATCACCTGATCTGTCAGAATGGACCGGTGGAGGATCAGAACCAGAACCAGAACCGGAGCAGGTTTAAAACCAGCTCCATGCTGCAGCTTCCTGCTGAAACCCGTTAAATTTCAGAAACATGTTTCTAAATGAAATCCTCCCGGTTCATCTACCGCTGCAGTTTCTACAGAACCGAGCCGGACCCTCTGCTCGGAACCGGGTCAGTCACGGCTTACCTGTCCGAACCGCCAAACTTCAGATGTTTGTTTTGGATGTTTTTCTTCTTTCAACTAGTTTCCAGTTTGGACTCTTCGGTTCCTCTTTGAGCCGACACCCAAGCCGCCTTAAAGGGGACGCGACCAAACTACAAATATAATAATGGAGGAAAACATTTAATCAGAACAGCAAACATTAAAACGACTGAATTGAAATTATTTTTGCACTAAGGACATTTTTCTAACAAGCCTGACTTCATGTTTTAATTTTAAACATTTTACGGAACTGTTTTCCAGAAAGCGTTGTTTCCAGACGGACCCTGAGCCGCTGTTCATTTATTATTACCCCAGTATAAGGATTTTATTAGTATTTTGTGTAATTTCACGCATTTAAGCCGCATATTGAAGTAATGGCGTCGAAGCGGAAAGCAGAGCTGCTGGTTCCTGCTGAGGAAAGCGACCAGCTGCTCATCCGGCCTCTGTCAGTCTCATCACTTCATCCTTTATTCATCATTTCATCCTTTTTTCCACCTGATTCATCCTCAATCAGACCGTTTAAAATGTGACATTGTGATGTTTGTTTTTTGCTCGTGATTCAGAGGCGCAGGCCAGGAAGTTGGCAGATCTTGTATCATCCTGGAGTTCAAAGGCAGGAAAATTATGGTAAATATGAGAAGCTGCTGGTTTCCCTTTATTTCTAACAAGCAGAGCAAATTTAAAATGTTGTTATATAAAGATTCATTTCAAATCGAGAAAATGTTTTAATTATAATGGGAAATTTGTGCTATTTTTAGAAGCATTTATAATCTGGAGCTTGATGAAAACATGTTTATAGAAAATAATGTTATTTTCCCGAGTTTTCCTAGAAGAGCTGCAATTTATGAAGCGCAATCAGTGCTGCCCTCTGCTGGCCAAAGACCCCCACTGTCCTGCATGATTTTACTTTAATTCAGTTCAAATTTAAAATATTTTATTAAAAAAGGAAATTAAGTGTTGTAATAAGTAAGATCATCTGAATATCTTCAGAGACAGTTTTATATATTCATAACTTTGAAAGAGCTATTTTGGTTGTCTTATAAACTATTTAAAGGGGCAGTATCACGTAAAATTAACTATTTTTTACCTGTGTAAAAATGTAATAGATTATATATAACGTTATTCCCTCATTTAAAACTTGTCGTGTTGCCTTGATTCTTAATGTTTGAGAAATCATTTAATCTCCATGACTACCATTCAGCAGAGCAAAATGCCTGATTGGACCTAGCTCCGCCTTCAAGGCGCAGCTCCTCCCCCCTCAGCTCCTTCAGACTAGCCAGCAGGAATTAGCTCATTATACGAGCCATTTGCCAGAGCCACGCTGTTAAAAACGTTGCTAAAGGGTTAATAGTGGAGCCATGTTGTGACAACTTCCTGAAGGCGGAGTTTCTTAAAGAGACAGAGGCCCAATTTCAATGCATTAAATCTGAAGATGCAAAGATAATCTTCCTCCAAGCCTCACTGAGCACATCGTGGTGTTTAGATTATAAGGAGAGGATATTTGTGTTTGTCAGCTGGACTGCGGCATCCATCCGGGGTTAGAGGGGATGGATGCTCTGCCCTACATCGACCTGATTGACCCTGCAGAGATCGACCTCCTCCTCATCAGCCAGTGAGTCTTCCCTTTGCTTTTTTACTTTCTCCACTATTTAGCAGTAAACTCTTGACATTTCCCTCCAAATGTTTCACCTCTAAGTTGTAATCTTAAATTGACACTCATGTCCTGTCACCAGTTTTCACTTGGATCACTGCGGCGCTCTGCCCTGGTTCCTGCAGAAAACCAGCTTTAAGGGCCGGACATTCATGACGCACGCCACCAAGGCCATCTACCGCTGGCTGCTGTCAGACTACGTCAAAGTCAGGTGGGAGCAGCCAAGCTATGCTAACATGTTACATTTCCGTGCAAAAGCATTCACCATGTTTGTACGTCTACAGAGTTAAATTTGATCTTTCTGGAATTGATGGAGACCATCTGAACTTTTATATTTCAAGTCTTGCCACTGATTATCGTTACATTCAGGTCATCACTGGATTTTATGTGCTAGATTAACATAAACCAGTGAATAAAAAATGCAATGTTTTTATTTTTATGGAGAAAAATCTGAACAGTTCATCCCAGTACAAATTCACTTTACTGTTTTGTAAACTTTCTGTTGAATAAAGTTTAACATCCATGTTGAAGTTTTGTTTTTGAGTAGTTAAATGTTGTGCGGTTATGTTCATGCTTTTATTTTGAAGTGCATTCATCTCCTCCACCATAGCTTTATTTAAAACATACAGGAACAAAGTGAAAAGCAGTAAAGAACAAGATATAACTGGTTTTACTGGATTTATTAGGGGTAAGATGGAAGGAGCATCATATATATTTATGTCATACTTTTAAAAAATATGTTTTTTATTGTTTTATTTGCAGTAACATCTCTGCAGATGACATGCTGTACACTGAGACTGACCTGGAGGACAGCATGGATAAAATCGAGACCATCAACTTCCATGAGGTGAAGGAAGTGGCCGGGATCAAGTTCTGGTGCTACCATGCTGGCCATGTGCTGGGAGCGGCCATGTTCATGATCGAAATAGCTGGAGTTAAAGTAAATAATCTACAATCTGTGTGGAAATGCTGTCGTAAAAAAATTCAATATTTAAATTACAAGCTTGATTTTGTCTTTTCAAAGCTGCTGTACACAGGAGACTTCTCCAGACAGGAAGACAGACATCTGATGGCGGCGGAGATCCCCAGCGTCAAACCTGACATCTTAATTATAGTATGACTTCAATCCCTGCATTGTCATAATCATACTCCAAGTTTCTAACAAATCAAAGTCATTTATACAAATTTGGTCTGTTTGGCTTTTTTGTCACATTTTTCAGATTTCACATCAGAGTAAATACAAACAAGTTTCAAATTGTGATTTCATTTACTAAAGTTGCAGCGTTTTACAAATTAAAGGTCAGTCTTATTAAAACAGTCACAACATTGTGACAGATAGCTGCAATAGCTAGCAATGTGCAAAAATCCACCTCTAGGTCCAAAGCAACCAATCAGAGCCAGGAGGCGGGTCTCAGTGTTTTCAATCAAGCTTGTGTACATGATGCTAAATGTTCTAATGCCAGAGAACAGTTTACCGTTCCAGAAAAACTGTTTGTCCACCCTGCTAACTAGCCTGAGCATTCATGGCAGCCTACAGCATACACAGGAGTGATTGACAGCGCTAGAAAGAACAAAGCTGAGTTTTTGGAGTGGTCTAGTCAAAGTGTGGATTTCACTTGGATTTAGATGCAGTTATAGGAACAATTCTGCAAAGCAAAGAGGGTCAAAGTTAATCTGGAAACCCTTTAAAATCTCTGATCAGCAAAACGTTCTCTGGTTTACTTTTCCACAGAGCGCCAGATTAGGTTGGATGGTTTTTGTGTTTTGTGTTTACTCTGGTTTTCTTTGTTATTAAAATAGTTTGATGATCTGAAACATTGAAGCATCTTAAAAGCAGAAGCAGAGCGGTTTTGTCTGTAACTGCAGGAGTCGACCTACGGGACTCACATCCATGAGAAGAGGGAGGAGCGCGAGGCTCGATTCTGCAACACGGTGCACGACATCGTCAACCGGGAGGGCCGCTGCCTGATTCCCGTGTTCGCCCTGGGACGGGCCCAGGAGCTGCTGCTCATCCTGGGTTAGGAGTCCCCCCTGGCTGTTGTCTCGGCCCACTTCGCTTCATTCTGCACAGCCAATCAGTTACACTGTAAAACATTTGAAGGAAATGAAGGTTCACCAACTAGAAAATTGTTTTACTTTTAAATCAGAAATTGAAGTTTGTTAAGTTGATTTAGCAACATAAATATTGTCTAAACTTTGTTTTTAAGGTCTGATTGTTTATTTCTTTCATTATGAGTTTAAAATTAATACTGTAATTTAAACCAAATACACACTTTTGTATTATTTTGCTCACATTATCAGATTAAACCAACTATCCATTATAAGGCAGAATAACTTACATTCTAGATTGAATTTGCATGAACAAAATGTCTGATGTAATAACTGAATCCTGCTGTGAAACATTTATTTTGAACCGTTAATCTGAGTAAACACTGTCCTGAACTATTGATTACTTTTGATTATATTTGCATGTGTGTTTGTTTTGTTTCCTAGATGAATACTGGCAGAATCACCCAGAACTCCACGACATTCCCATCTATTACGCCTCATCTCTGGCCAAGAAGTGCATGGCTGTCTACCAGACCTACGTCAACGCAATGAACGACAAAATCCGCAAAGCAATCAACATCAACAACCCCTTTGTGTTCAAACACATCAGCAATCTGAAGGTAGGTGGTCCTCAGAAAGTCTTAAAACACAGACATCTTCATTTGGTGACTTGAGACAGTTGAGGCTACCACTAGTTAGCTGCTAACATATCTTTGGTAGCTTCTGATCCAGTTTCCATCCTGTCCCAGAGCATGGACCACTTTGATGACATCGGCCCCAGCGTGGTGATGGCGTCGCCGGGTATGATGCAGAGCGGCCTCTCCAGGGAGCTGTTCGAGAGCTGGTGCACCGATAAGAGGAACGGCGTCATCATCGCTGGATACTGTGTGGAGGGAACGCTAGCGAAGGTAGGGAGCTAGCTTCATTTATCACCTCTCCGAAAACATCTGCAGAACTTTATTTAGGACCATGAGAGAGGGAAGGGAGTTAAATGTAAATGCACGCTGCACTTTTCAGATTCTCATTAATAATTTTTTCTTCCCCTTGACAATTCTACTCAACTTGTCCCAAAAATCTGAATAAAATAAACTAAAGTTTATGTGTTTTTTTTTTTTATTCATAGCTCCTACAGAGGCTGCACAGTGACACAGTTGGTATAGATACCTACCAAGATGGCTGCCAGCTACAAAGTTCCCAGACGTGTGACGACACATGAGAACTTCGTTCCTGACAGCCATCTTGGTAGGCAATTGCTATGTAGTTACTGTAACAACAAAAAACAAGCCACAAACTGAGAACTCGCCTTGTGGAGCTCGTTTCTTCCAACTATTACTGGATCACATTTTTTGAGTTCTCTACCAATCTCTGTGTGATACTGTGATAAATAGCAGTGATATTTACTGGAGTACTTACTGCCAAACTAGCAAAGTTAGCTTAGCTAATATAGCTAATATAGCTAATATAGCTTTTAGCTGCTAGTTAAGACTGACATGTTTAAATCCATTTAAATACTGATTTTATGTGTCCATGAAGCAGCATGTGTACAGCACTAAGTGGTGAATTATGTCATCGTCGGACATGTTTCCATTCAAATGGGTCGATCCCGACCCATTTTGTTCATATATATTTCTCTTGAACATTAGTCAAGAATGTTCACATTTTTCCTTGTGTTGATCTTGATGCCCTGGATTCGCTATGCTTTGTGTTACGCCTGCCTATCAAGATGGCCGCCTATCGCCTCCAGTGGGATCTATGTGTAGAATCTATTCAATAATTCAATTCTTTGACATAAAGTCAGTTTATCGACATGTAACAGACCTGTTTGCGTGTTTCCTCTGCAGCACATCATGTCTGAGCCGGAGGAGATCACCACCATGTCCGGACAGAAGCTGCCGCTCAAGATGTCAGTGGACTACATCTCCTTCTCCGCCCACACCGACTACCAGCAGACCAGCGAGTTCATCCGGGCCCTCAAGCCGCCTCACGTGGTGGGTTGGCAGGTCGAAACCGCCTGCGCTCGCCCTGTTCTGACTCCGCGTGCGTTTGCTCTCAGATCCTGGTTCACGGGGAGCAGAACGAGATGGCCCGCCTGAAGGCGGCGCTGATCCGGGAGTACGAGGATAACGACCAGGTCCACATCGAAGTGCACAACCCTCGCAACACAGAGGCCGTCACTCTCAACTTCAGGGGAGAGAAGCTGGCCAAGGTTCTGGGTTTTCTTTGAGCTGCTGCTTACTGATGTTTTTGCAGAGCCTGTCAGACTGAAAGTTGTCCTCACAGGTGATGGGTTCGCTGGCTGATAAGAAATGTGCTCAGGGTCAGAGGGTGTCTGGCATACTCGTGAAGAAGAACTTCAATTACCACATCCTGAATCCATCCGACCTCTCAAGTAAGTTACTCACACTTATATGTTGTTGTATGAATGCATCATAAGTGTAAAATCCAGTCAAAGTCCTTCTGCACCATTTTTAAAGCAGTTTTTCCTTCCACTCAACTTTCCAACAATATGCCTGCATACAGCTCTCTGAGAACAGGCCTTGTGCACCGTGTGCTTTTTATCGCAAATAGATCCAGAATAAAAACTTTTTTTGAAATTTCAATTATAATGTTATAAAAAGAATAAAGACACAGTATCGTAAAATTATGAGAAAAACATTTTAATGAGAGAAAAGTTTGAAAAGTTATCAAGAGTTTTAAACTAGGCAAGTCTGTGATTGTTTTTTACTTTATTCTCATATTTTTACAACTTTAGTTTTGTCACTTAATTCTCATTTTATTATTACTTTGTTCTCATATTATTACGGCTTTATTTTCGTATTTCAAATTGCGATAAAAACCTGACCCTAATACTTTGTTACAGAGAACTGGAGGAGCGATTTACTTTTTGAAAGAAGTAGCCTAAAACTAAATTACTGAGAGGTTTGGCATAAACCCGGTACGGCCTTCCAGGAAACTATTCCTGATCCCAGCTGTGAAGCACGGTGGTGGCGGAGTCATGGGTGACCTGGTCAACTCCTTAAATGTGTTAAAATAAATGACAGCTGATGCAGAGCTGAACCCCAGCAGCATAAAGACTAGCAGTAAATCCATGCAGGATAATGGAGAGTTGTTTCCACAGCGTACACAGAGCTGGCCATGAGCACGGTGAAGCAGAACCAGGCCATCCCGTTCACCGGGCCGTACTCGCTGCTCGTCTGCCACCTGAGGAACCTGACAGGTCAGCCTCTAGCGTTGTGCCGGCGCTCCGCTGAGTCCGAGCGAGACGCTTTAGCTTCACCCGCCTTCGCCGTCTGTCTCAGGGGACGTGGAGGAGCTGGACGGCACCGAGAAGAAAACGCTGAAGATCTTTAAAAGCATCACTCTGGTCCACGAGGTCGGGATGGTGGTGCTGGAGGTGAGAGCGTCAGGTCAGATCAGATGAACAGAAGCTCTTTATTAATGGCTGTTATTTTGTCTTTCAGTGGGTCGCCAATCCGCTGAACGACATGTATGCTGACGCCGTCACCACCGTGGTGCTGGAGGTCCAGTCCAACCCAAAGGCTCAGAAAGGTCAGTCAAACTGGCTCCTATTTATCTGTTTTAATGATTGAAAACAGATTAGATCTTACTTTTAAAATACAATTAAACATTTGTGATTTAAAAAAAATGATTCGAATCAAATTTTCTCATCTTCCCTCCATGCCGGCCCCAGAGGGCCTGAGCCACTTCAGGTTGACTTGGACCTGAACGTGCTGCAGTATTCAACACAATATTTAGTGTAAGCTAACTCTATAGCGCTACACCAACACGGTATTTGGTGAAAGCTAATGCTAAAGCGGCATATGAACATAATATTCAGTGGTCGCTAACTAAAGATCAACTACAGATGGTATATCAACACAGGGCTGAAGGCATAAACACATATTGAATTGTTGTTGCATTGCTGGTTATGAATGGTGGAAGCATTAAATAACTGATGCTCTGAAATCATGGCTCCGTTTTGTGTTTCATGTCCAGTCATGGAGACGCAGAGCACCACGATGGACATGGACGTCTTCCAAACCCGGTTAGAGGTCATGCTGCAGTGAGTCACACGTTAACTTTTATAGAAGACGTTTTCAGGAAAAGCTGTTTGTCTTGAAGAGTTCATTGTCCCGTCTCTGATTTCAGGGACATGTTTGGAGAGGACTGTGTGGACTTCAGCGATGGGAAAGTCATTTCTGTGACGGTGGACGGACAGACGGTCCACATCAGCTTGGAGACGCGGGTGAGACGGCTGGTTGTCGGAAACAGAATGTTGCTTTTGCTGCAGGTTAAGCGTCTGCTTTCACTCTGCAGGCGGTTTACTGCGAGGACGACGTCTCAGAGGACGACTCCCTCAGAGAGATGGTGGAGTTGGCCGTGCAGCGGCTCTACGACGCCCTGAACCCGGCGCTCTGAGGACCCGGCCCTCTGAGGGACCCGGCCCTCTGAGGACCCGGCCCTCTGAGGGACCCGGCCCTCTGAGGAACCCGGCCTCTGAGGGACCCGGCCCTCTGAGGACCCGGCCTCCTGATGGGCTGACAGGTCTCCTACCAGAAACTGGATCTTTCAACAGAGCGACTGTAGAGCAGAAGAATCAGTTTGATTTGACATGTTTTAGTTGATGTACAAGCACTTTAAGTTAACTGTATGTGTGTAGATTTGCTGTAGTTTTTATTCCATCCCTACAAATATGCACTGATTTAGTCTATTGTGTGAACATATAACGGCACTAATGGTGGTTCGTTGCATGTTGAAACATTTTTATTTACAAGTGGATTAAAAAGTGAAGCTTTAGCCAGATTCCTGTAGTACAAGGTGCTTTTTATAAAGTTACAGTCAAAATGAACAGCAATAATTTGGGATACTTAGCCCCAAATTATTTAAAAAGTGGGTGTTAATTTTTAAGATTTTTACTGTCAGCAAATGTCACCATTTTAAACTATTTAAGTTGGAACCTAAATATTTCGTCAACAAGCTAAAAAATGAGCTTCAAACTAAAGATATGAAATAATCCGATGGACAAAAAATCAATTTCTGTCCTTGTACTGAGAAATTTAAGGATTTTTAAGTTTTGTATTTGCAATTTAAATATCCAGAATTACAAAACTCTTACAGGATGAAAGGCACAAAATCGTTTGTACAGAATCCACCGTCATGGAGCTGCAGGCGTCGCTGCTGCTGCTGTATGGAGGGTATTGGCAAAGTCAAAGGCTCCAGAGCTGAGTGTGGATTATTTTTTAATCTCTGGAACAATATAAGCTTCAACATTTACAGGAAACATAAAAGGCACTTCCCTTAGAATGACAACCTGACCTGATCCTAGGTCACTGGAGTTGTTTAAAAGTGCTGACAATGCTTTATCCGTTTCATAAATACTTAATAAAATTCATAGGCCTGAGGAATACATGACTTTATGAAATAAAATATCCAGTGGCTGTGAATCAAATTCTAAACTTCATGAGCAAAGAGAGAAATGAGGAATCCCAACCACCAAACTTCCCAAAGTTAAATAGATTTAAATATCCTTTAGGTGAAAAACACAACGTTCCTGAATCCAGCATTTTCTCCACCAATGTGCAAATTAATATCAGGTCATCTTACAATGAGAAACGTTTTATACACTAAAGAAATGTGGAGATAAATTCATATGTTCTTACATTATCATTGTCTTAAAATTCCATCAACTGCCCAATACCTTTGTTGTTTTGTATTTGTGAAAGATAAACTTGGTGCAAAATTGTTTTGAATTGTTCCTCCACTTTTACCACACTGACGATTTATTACTATTTATCGAGTCTAATGCAAAGAAATTTGGTTATGTGTCTAAAATTGTTTTGGTTTGATCAGAGTTCAGATTCTGTCACGTTTTATATGGTTCAAATGGACCAAATTTAACAGAAATACAAGGAAATGCAGAAGTTTTCTGAAATAAATCAATTATACATGAGATTACTGCATTTTGTGGTGATATTTATAAATTATTTATTAGACAATTCAAACAAGCAAGTAAAAAATGTAGTAAATGATGAAACGGATACAATATGAACTCTAATCCAACCATCAATGGGCTGCGTAACATGGTGTCCAATCATCCAGCTGCATCCAGCTGCATGCGTCAGTGTCTGCATGACGCAGTTTGTAACTTTAATCATTTTTTACACATTTGTTGAAACTCATTACAGATTGGAATGAAGCAGATAATCTGTGGTTGTTTCTAGAAAGCAGAGAAACTCAATTTTTTCCCAATCAGAGGAAGAAGGAGCGTCTTAGCGCTGACAATCATCCTCCATGTGCCACTGCTCATTCTTTCTCCTGTTCCCTCTACGATGGGGCTGTTTCTTCCTGATAGCAGAGCCTGCAGGTTAGCATGGCCACTGATGGTGGTTTTCCCGTAACAGTAAGTTGTTTCTCCTACACTGGCACATTGAGCAGTGAGTACATGAGCTTAATGAGCAGGACTAAGACCCTCCTGCCTCTGATTGGTTGTTTTTGGTTGGAGTAGATGCCAATATCAGGGGATCAATGTTTCACAGATTATCTGTCTCATAATACACTGTAACAACATAGTGAGAGTTTTGACAAATATGATTAAATAATTATTTAAAAGTTACATATTGCAGCTTTAAAGCACAAAACGAACAGCAGCCTATAAGCGCTTATCCATCCACCAAACTTTCCTCACTTCTCCAAGCTAAATATAATCCCCATGACCAACAGCAGCATCAGCCCAATTCCGAACTCTATCATGTTGTCAAACTTGGTGTCTTGGTGGCTCTCCTCCCTCTTCAGCCTCTCCTCCCTCCGGAGCCGGGTGTCTCTGTCCCTCAGCAGCTGCTCTCCGTAGTGGGCCTTATAAAACTCATCGAAGTCAAAGTGCCTGTCTGTGAGCGCAGACCGCCTGCCGGGCTGCTGCTGGGCCGAGCCCCCCGTGGACCCCGCCGTGGAGACCCCGCTGGCCGGTTTGCCTCTGCCGCTGAGGTCCGACGGGCTCAGGAGACCCAGGTCGTACTTCTTCCGGAGCACCTGGTTGCCCAGCACCGTGTAGGCCTCGCTGATCTCTGAGAAGCGGTCGGTGGCCTCCGCGCTGCCCGGGTTCCGGTCCGGATGGCAGGCGAAGGACTGCTTGTAGTAGGCGGTTTTGATCTGGGCTTTGGTGGCGGTGGGTGGGACGTCCAGGACATCATAGTAACCGGTTTTGGTTTTGTACAGCGGATCCGATCTGGACCCGTTTCCGCTGTAGCTCCTGATGAAAACAGTCGGAGGAGATCCGGGATCCAGATCCAGACTCCGGTTCGGAGGAAACGGGGACAAAGTCCGGTACGGAGGAACGGTCCGCTTAGTGAAGTCTATCAGAGTCCCATGTGAACATAAATTACTCTTATGGCCCAGAAAACATGCAGGCGTGTCTCGCTCCGGACCGGTTTGTGCTCCACCCGGCAGCGGGCTCAGCTTCGGATAACCGTCCCGCCGGCGAGCAGCAGCCGCCCGCAGCGCCGCTCTTCCCGCTCCGCTCCGCTCGCGGTTTTCATTATTATCAAACTGAAACCAAGCCGACAGAGAGCCCCGGGGTGCCGCCTTTGTTCCGAGTCGGATTCGGTTCTGCAGAAGGTAGAGTTTAGACATTTTAAGTCCAAATTCACATTCTCCCCTTCCGACACAGTACCTGACCTCCGCCATGTTTACTGGAGGAGACCGGCGGAAGGAATGGAGGAATTTAAACCACAGCGCCGCCAGCGGTCAGGTGGAGAAACGTCAAAACAAAGTCATTACACCGTGCAAAACATTATGACCACTGACTGGTAGATTAAATGATTTTTTTAAGTTATATTCATTTTAATTACATTGAAAGTAGTGAAAATTCATTTGATTCTAGATTTAGTATTACTACCACATTCTTGCTCACTTTTAATTTATTCGATGTCATTTTTAGAGAAAAGGGTGTTTGGGTAATTTCGGACAGTAGTTTTAAGCACTTTCACTCATTTTAAAAATTTAAAACAAATTTTGTAGCTATATACGGTGTACCACAATCGACTGAAATTACTGGACCATTTTTGCAATCCAAACATTTAGAGCCACAAATGTTACATGAGAAATAAAGAACTTACAATTTTTACCAGTAAAAGTGATGTTATTCTTTTAAAGAACAGTCATGTCATTTATGTTTCTAATTTTAAAATAACGATAAACATACAGAAAGATGATGGATGTTTTTTATGACTGCTACAACCTGCGCTTGTTTTATTATATATAATATATATATATATATATATATATATATATATATATATATATATATATATATATATATATATATATATATATATATATATATATATATATATATATATATATATATATATATATATATATATATATATATATAGAATATGGACTGGAAACCCCGAGATCAAAGTGGGAAACACCCCAAAGGTGGTGGAGAACGCCAGAGCTAAGATCCTGTGGGACTTCCAGATCCAGACAGACAAAATGGTAATGGCGAACCAACCAGACATTGTCGTAGTGGATAAACAACAGAGGAAAGCCGTTGTGGTAGATGTAGCAATACCAAGTGATTGCAACATCAGGAAAAAGGAGCACGAGAAACTAGAGAAATACCAGGGCCTCAGGGAGGAACTGGAGAGGGCCTGGAAGGTGAAGACCACAGTGGTGCCTGTGGTCATCGGGGCCCTCGGGGCAGTAACCCCTAAACTGGAGCAGTGGCTACAACAGATCCCAGGAACAACATCAGACATCTCAGTCCAGAAATGTGCAGTCCTTGGCACAGCCAAGATACTGCGCAGAACCCTCAAGCTCCAGGCCTCTGGTAGAGGACCCGAGCTCAGAGGATAAGAACCACCCGCGGTGGGTGAGAAGGGAATTTTTTTTATATATATATTAGTAATTATTCCTGGTTATTATGTTTATCAGTAAAAGTTATTAAAATTTGTTGTTGAAGCTCAGTGTCATCAATAAAAGACAGAGCCCTATTTTTATACAATTTCAAACAAACTGAATTTCTTCACTTAAAGTGAGCCAATATTTTAATCTGTCTGAAGATATTCACACTTTTTAAAATCTTTATCCGGTGGACGAAAATGACCAGTAAGAGAGCTTTTATTGTGAAGTCGCAGCGGCATTACATTTTCTCAACCGGAAGTTGGTTGTTCCCCTCTCAGAGCAGCGTTTCATATTTCTAACATCAGTTCTGGGTTTTATTGCGCGAATTGATGCGTCTTTTTGGGACCGCGCCCTGCATCACCATGGTGAACCTCTGCTGCCTCTGCTGCGGTCAACTCCCGGCGGAACCCCGCCCCCCTCCGCCCCGCCAGCCTGGAGCACCGCGGGATTCCCGCACCGCACCGCAGCATCATCACCAGCTGCAGCTGCAGCATCACCAGCTGCAGCAGCAACAGCCTGCTGGACCAGAATCTGATGCGGGTCTCAGCGGGACCCGGAAGGAGGATGCAAACGGAGGGAAGAAGGTAAAACAGGATGCATGAGAGGACATGCAAAGCGCTGCAGCATGCTCTCCTCTGACCAGGACTCCGCGGAAGAGGCGCCCAGTGTTCCCAGTGTTCCCAGTGCTGCTGAGGAAGAAGAGCAGGAGGAAGACTCACCTGCAGACAGCGATCTTCCTGAAGTGGTAGGCAGAAAAGTCTTGAATAACTATTTGTCCAGATTTCCTCCTCAATTCAAAATTCTTCTTCTTTCCTCTCTGTGTTTTAAACATAGTTTTAAAAAATCAACATTAAAGTTTAAATGTTGTAAGTTAATCCAAAACCTTCCATCTCTTTTCCGTTATCCGGATTTAAAGCAATATTTAAACTGTACTATATTACTTTAACTGGACTGAATATTGACTTTAATCTGATTTACAATCTGTGGAATGAGCTGAAGATTAGGGTGATGGTAAAGAGACCTTCAATCCTCAAACATTGGAAGCTCATCTGAAGAGAAATAATAAGAATACCAGAGGAAATATTGCTTTGAAAAACGTTGCTTAGCAATTAGAAGAAATTATAAATAGCAAATAATTGTCCAAAAGCAGTATTTAGCTTTATTGTCGTTTTTAGTGACTTTTTCTGCCAGAAATACATTCATTGGTTGAATAAAAATGATTGATTGCACTTTTAAAGACATTAATTGACTTTTGAACATAAAAACAATTTGTGTAAAACATGCAGAAATTTTCAGGTTTTCAACTTGTAGCTACAGGTTGTTACTATGGTAACCAAACAATCAAAATATTAGGATTATTGTTTGCTAAGAAAACTTGTAAATTCAATTTATCTTACAATATAAATAATTGAATGTATCTCTGTTGAAGTATTTTAGTTCATTTTAATTAGTATCTTCTTTTTTAATAGTTTGTTACTATGGTAACAATCAACAATCAAATGATCATTTTCACTTTTGAGTAAACTTGCAAGTTTAGCTTAAGTTTTAAATAATTTAATGCGTCTCTGCTGACGTCTTTAAATGTATTCGTTTTCTCTCTTTCTGTAAACAAATATAAAACTTTCATGCTCTTGAGGCCTTAAGCAGCTTAAATGGACTGAACTTATATAGAGCTTTTCCAGTCATTTTGACCACTCAAAGCGCTTTACACTAGAGTCACATTCACCCATTCACACACCAGTAGGCAATTTAGGGTTAAGTGCCTTGCCCAGAGGCACATTGAGATATGGCAAGAGGAAGTTGGAATTGAACCTACAACCTTCCGATTGCAAGACGACAACTCTGCCACACAGCCACAGCCGCCCTTATGACTTAGTGCACTTATGACTGAGGCCGGCTCTGCACTCCATCACAAATCCGTCAGTTACATTTTCCTCATCACTTTCTGGAGTTTCATTTTGAAGGTTTGTTTGTAATGTTTCACATTCTCTGAAAAATGAACATTTTCACTCAAACATATTTGATCTTCTTCAACTTTTACACCAAAAACATTTTTTAAAAATCCCATCCATCAGCGTGAAGGTAAACGAGTTCGGGATGAAATTCAGTCGTTCTTTGAATGACTGATGCAGGAGCTGCAGCGTGTGACGTCCAGCGCAGCAGTGGATGGCTGCTTGTCACCATAAATCCTCTCACTCTGAGTCTCAGTCATGTGGACGAACGTCTCCAAATGTGAGGCATGCAGAGGATCCGAGCTGCACAGCGGCAGCAGAAAACTCTGCTAACTTCAGTTTGGCTGCTGCATCTGGAGCTCTCACTGTTACTGATTAAGCAGCTGCTGCCAAAGGGAAAATCTCTGTACTCTACAACATTATTGCAAATGTGGCGCTTTGTGTTTCTGCTGGTTGAATTAAGATAAAGCAGAAAGATGTGAAACGGAGAAGCATCCAGTTTAAACAGCGCAGATCCCTCAACCTGCATCATGGTTGTTTTATGTAGCACTGCAACCAATAATTAGTTCAGTAATGAATTATGATGATTAATCAATTAAAAAAATGCCTTTCTGCATGTTTTTCATTTAACCACTTAAGCCAATTCAGTTACTTTTTCAAAAATGAGGTTCATCTTCTGACAGGACAACCACAATGTTCTGTTTATTGGGTCAATACTTAATACCATTTAAATTCAGTATCTTTAGATCTACCTCTTGATGTAATGGAAAAGTGGTCGGCCATTTTGATAGAAGAGAAAATGCATGTTTTTAAGAAAATTAATCAATATTATATCAACCCATCTATCAATAATTTGCATCCATATAATTAACTAAATGAAATGAATACATTAATGTAGTCCGAATGGTCTAGTCAAAGTCCAGACCTCCATTGCAATAAAACATTTGTCAACTCTGGCTAAGTTTGAGTTTATTTTTACGATAAAATACAAACATATAAAAGCCACTGACTTTACATCACTTAGTTGAGTTTCCTTCTGTAAACTGGATCTTGCAGCATTTATTAAAGCAGATTTAACATCTATCTGCTTAAACCTTCTCAGATTCATCCCATTGGTTCTTGAGATGCTCAATGCAGTAAAACTATAAACCACCTTTGGGTTTTGTGTGTAGAACACCTCAGTAATGTTCTCCTTTTAGATTCTGCTGAACTTTCTTTGGTCTGATTTACGTTGAGCTGTGCTGTAATTTATTGCCACCGGAGTCGTTTGCATTTCTGCTGCATGCCGCGGATTCCTTGGCATGTTTACAGGCTTCATCGCTTTAAGTGCTTTTTCCTAATCGTGGCTCCCGTTTGTCTTTTTCTTGCCTCTGCAGCAGCGTCCAGTCCAGCAGTCCCTGGGCGCCTGCGTCTGCCGGGAGTCCCACTGGCGCTGCCTTCTGCTCTCCGTCCTCATGATCAGCTGCCTGGCTGCGCTGGCTTGGTGTCAGCTGACACGGGTCACCAAGATCAGCTTCACCTCCAACTTCCCCTCCACCCTGCGGAGCGGCGGACACTCCATGATCTACCACGACAGCCCGTGCTCCGACGGGTACGTCTACATCCCTCTGGCCTTCCTGTTGCTGCTCTACGGGTTGTACATGGTGGAGTGCTGGCACTGCATGGCCCGGAACCAGCTGCAGTCCAAAGCGGACGTGCACAGCGTGTACGAGCGCGTGCTACGTATGCGACAGGCACAGCCTTGCATTTGGTGGAAGGCCATCAGCTACCACTTCGTCAGACGGACGCGGCAGGTGACAAGGTACCGCAATGGGGATGCCTACACCACCACGCAGGTGTACCACGAGCGGGTCAACACCCACGTGGCGGAAGGGGAGTTCGACTACGCCCACTGTGGGATGAAAGACGTGTCGCGGGAACTTACGGGCCTGGAGGGTCACCCCACAACCCGCCTGCGCTTCACCAAGTGCTTCAGCTTCACGGAGGCCGGCCCAGAGAACGACTACCTCAACCAGAGGTCCCGGTTCTTCTCCGAAACAGAAGGTCTGGACGACTACATGGAAGCTCGGGAGGGGATGCAGCTGAGGAACGTGGACTTCCGGGACAACATGATTGCCTGCGTCGACCCGGACCAGATGCCGTGGTACACGTCTCGGATGGCCTTCTGGTTGGCGGCGCTGTTCATGCTCTCCTGGCCTCTCAGAGTCTTCATTGAGTACCGAACGGCATACGTCCATTACAGAGTGGAGAAGCTGTTTGGGTTGGAGTACATCTGCAGCCGTCCGTCCCCGCTAAACGAAGATAGCTGCGGTATTCCCAGAGTGGACACCCTGGATAGCACGGAGATGGAATGGCACATTCGCTGCAACCGCCAGCTCATCCCCAGCTACTCAGAGGCCATGCTGATCAGCGCCAACACCTCGACCTCCGCCTCCTCCACCCGCTTCTTGTTGGACCCCGGAGCTCCCCAGAACCGGGACGATGGTTCAGGAGGTAGGAGGAGGACGGTTGCCAGCTCCAGCTGCTCCTCAGGGTTCTCCTGCCACGGAGCGCTGCTGCTGTCCCGCCTCTCCTCCGACACGTCCCACGTGTCGCTGTGCCGCATGTACGGCTCCCGTCGCACTGTGGCTCCACGGAGGAGCCGCAGCAGCAGCTTGTCGGACCCCTGCTGCCTGGACGATCAGTGCTGCAGGTCCGACTCCAGCCAGCTGGCGCTCAGCGACAGTCCGCCGACCTACAGGGACGCCCGGTTCTTCCCAGCTCTCATCGTCCACTGGTCTGAGTCTGGGGAGGACAGAAGGCGGTATTACATCAGGAGAGGGTCATCATGTGTGGAGACGGCATTGTAGACAAACTGGACCCAAAAATTAAAGTGCAACTAGCTCCTTTGTGAAAGCTTAGCCAAAAAACTCCAGTGAAGTGGGCGGAGCCAATACATTTTATGGGGCGTGTCCAAATGAAGGGAGGAGCTGAGGGTGATCAACTGTTGCTGACTTACTGACTTTCCCACTATATCTTATGTTTTAGAGACTTTTATGGTGACGACAAGCTAGCTAAGATTATACTGAACAGAGAACGACTTCCTCAGAGAAGCTCAGAGAAAAATGTCCAAAAAATGGCATAGAAACTGAATACATTGCTCCTGCAGGAACAATGTATTCAGTTTATCAGCAACAAATCGCTGACCTGGAGGTCAGTTCCTCTTTAAGACGCTGGTTGTTGGACATGCGTCACTTTTACTGAGAAAAACCTGAAAACTGAGGCAAGAATTTTCATGCAGACCAAATGCAACTAATTTTCTCCTGATGAACAGAGAAATACTTGAAGTGAAGATGGATGAAATCAGAACAATCCTGGAGGAAAACCTGTTGTGGGTGTGAATACTTCTGTAAGCCATGGATCCCTAAAATGTTGCTACATTAACAGAGGATCAAACTGAAATGCATCCAAATGCCTGCAGGTGCAGGAACCTCCAATGTGTCACTGCATGATCCTCCTTTACCAGCATGACTCAGTTCAGTTCAGCAGTTTGTAACTTTCTCTGTTCTGCAGACAAAGTTAAGGAAATATTAAAAACACTCAAGCAACTGTTATGCACGTTGTTTTGACTTCTACGTTTCAGAGTGATTCATTTAATTTCTTATTAATTTTCTTCTTGTTTGCAGACCAACTCGCCCTGAGTCACTTATTTTATAGACACAAAAACTGGATCCAGAGCTGTGAGACACGTGAATCGCAGTGTGGAGGGCAGCATTTGGACGGCATCGTCTCTGCAGACAAGTTTAATAAAAACGTTGAATTACAAAAGGGGAGATTTTTTTTCAGAATGATGTTTTATCCTAAACTTAAAGGACACAGAAAAAAGACAAACTTAGGAGGGGGAAGTTTTATAACTGCTGACCGAAACGTCACTTGAAATTTGCTAACAGGACTCAGAAGACGAGTTCATGCAGAACAGAACCGCAGTCAGTTTATTTAGCTTAACGGGGAAAAAAAACAAAAGTTATTTTTATCAAAAAGTAAATGAGCAAATCTGATTAATATCCACCTCTACAGATGAGAAGTTAATGACAGACACACCATTTTTTCTGATGCAACAGAAATATGAATCAGAGTTTCAAAGGAAAAATATTTGAATATTGTTTTATGTTTAGTTGATTTAAAGGACCGAATCGCAGGCAGGACAGCAGATTTCTAAAGCTGAGTCAGAACTGTGTGACCAGCAGAGGAGCTGTCATTAGTTTCAGATTTAAAGCTCTTTTAACATGCAGTCGGAAATATTCAAAGTATTTTTTGTTTGTTTTGATTCTGAATTACAGCTGATCGAAAAAGCAAAACAAAGTTTCTCACAGAATTATTCTATATCAAAAAGGCCAAGAAAAAGTATCTTAACTAGCAAAATATTTAGGTTAAAGCAAAAATATTGACTCACTAAATATTTACAAGGCAACCTTTAGTTAACAAATAATTATTTAGTGAGCAAACAAACTATTTAGCTTCCAGACAAAAATATTAGCAAAGACAAAGTCCTATAGCCAAACATTTCATACCTTCAGTCATTTAGTTTTTAACTGGTGGCCTGACAGAGTAAGACTGTAAATAATCTTTATAGCAACAATAACTTTTCATCCTGTGCTGAACTCTCATCTAAATTCTCATCAATTCTCATCATTCTCATCTCTTTTGGTTCTTTCAGGTCAGAGATTCTGTTCAAAAGATGTTTCTGCACTTTCCTGATCGACTTTTGGATAATCTCCTGCAAATGGACCCACAGCGGAAAAAATGTATTTCATTCTTATTAATATTAATATTATTAATAATAATAATAATAATAATAATAATAAAGTCTCAAGATTTGCAGCTTTTGTTAAAACGGCATAGGAGGGGGATCAGTGGGAGGCTGCCAAGAAATGAATTCATAAGTCCTCGATCTGTTTAAAATATTCTATAAAGTGCATTACACAAACGCAAAATGAGCAATATGATTGAGTACTAAATATTTCGTTTAAAACTGGCATTTACAAATGAATGAATAACATGGTGAAAAGATAACTGAAAAAATGAACCCCGTTTCTTTCCTTCATAAATATTGTACTAAATGACCCAAATTACTGCTGTTCATTTCTTCAGCTGCGTCCCACAGTATGAATGCGAATGCATGTCAATGTGCTTCAATACGGAGAGAACTCGTCTCAAAATGACATGCCAGCTTTCAACAATGTGAATCTTAATCCTTTCTGGTTTTAATATTTCAGGAGATTATTTGACCTTCTGCCAGTTTACCAGCAGAAGGGAAGTGACGCAGCGCGGCCGCCAGGGGGCGCCAGAAACTGTTTTAATGTGCACATTGAGCTCGCGGACAGTTTGATCCAGGATATCTGAATGCAGAGATTTTCAGTGTGAACTGCATGAACCACCTCTGTCCCTGCCTCCCCCTCCTGTGGTGAACGTTTAATTTCAGCTTCTGTGTTCAAGTTCACGAAACAGCACATCCTCCACTCCCTGGTGCCTCAGTGTAATTCCTGGATTAAGGTTAACGAGCCTCCTCAACCTTATTGCTGTTATTATGGCTTGGCAGTGGGACATGACAGCAGAGCCTTTTGGTGGTTGTGTGCCCTGCACGGCTGCCAGAAACGCTGCAGCCTTCCCGGGTTCTGGGCCTTCTGCACTGTAACTGTTTCTTCACAGGCGACTCATGGTTTGGGTGTGGATTGGAGGCATTCCTCTGTAAGTCGCAGAGATTTGTCTTGGTCATGAAATGGAGAGTAGCTAATGTGAAATGTGGTTTGGTGGAAAGCTCTGCGTTGGGTATGTGTTGCTTCTGAATGTACTGCGCTCATCAGCCTTCATGGGCCGGGTTCTGGGTCCATGCTGGTGCTGCTGCTGGTAGCATAGGCTAACAGGGGCAACTTAAAGGGGCAATTATGATTTTCCCCATGTGAAATTTTCTGTGGAAAAGTAATTAATTTGGATTTTATGAGATAAACCAACGTGAAGCAGTGGATGGATGGATGGATGGATGGATGGATGGATGGATGGATGGATGGATGGATGGATGGATGGATGGATGGATGATGGATGGATGGATGGATGGATGGATGGATGGATGGATGATGGATGAATGGATGAATGGATGGATGGATGGATGGATGGATGGATGGATGGATGGATGGATGGATGGATGGATGGATGATGGATGGATGGATGGATGGATGGATGATGGATGGATGGATGGATGGATGGATGGATGGATGGGATGGATGGATGGATGGATGGATGGATGGATGGATGGATGGATGGATGGATGGATGGATGATGGATGGATGGATGGATGGGATGGATGGTGGATGGATGGATGGATGATGGATGATTGATGGATTGGATGGATGGATGGATGGATGGATGGATGGATGGATGATGGATGGATGGATGATGGATTGGTTGGATGGATGGATGGATGGATGATGGATGGATGGATGGATGGATGGATGGATGGATGGATGGATGGATGATGGATGAATGGATGGATGGTGATGGATGAATGGATGAATGGATGGATGGATGGATGATGGATGATTGGATGGATGGTTGGATGGATGGATGGATGATGGATGGATGGATGGATGGATGGATGGATGGATGGATGATGGATGATTGGATGGATGGTTGGATGGATGGATGGATGGTGATGGATGGATGGATGGATGGATGGATGGTTGGATGGATGGATGGATGATGGATGGATGGATGATGGATGGATGGATGGTGATGGATGGATGATGGATGGATGGATGGATGGATGGATGGATGATGGATGGATGGATGGATGATGGATGGATGATGGATGATTGGATGGATGGATGGATGGATGATGGATGGATGTGGATGGATGATGATGGTGGATGGGATGGTGGATGGATTGGATGGTGATGGATGGATGGATGGATGGGATGATGGTGGTGGATGGTGGATGATGGATGGATGGATGGATGGATGGATGGATGGATGGATGGATGGATGATGGGTGGGATGGATGATGGGATGGATGTGGTGGATGGATGGATGGTGGATGGATGGATGGATGGTGGATGGATGGATGGATGATGGATGGATGGATGGATGGATGGTGGATGGATGATGGTGGATGGATGGATGGATGGATGGATGGTGGATGGATGGATGGATGGATGGATGGATGGTGTGGATGGATGATGGATGGATGGATGGATGGATGGATGGATGGATGGATGATGGTGGATGATGGATGGTGTGGATGGATGGATGGGGATGGATGGATGGATGGATGGATGGATGGATGGATGGATGGTGGATGGATGGATGGATGATGGATGGATGGATGGATGGATGATGGATGGATGGATGGATGGATGGATGGATGGATGGATGGATGGATGGATGATGGATGGTATCCCACAGCATGATGCTGCCTCCACCAGTTTGAGCACATAGACCAATCACAGTTCAGTAGTTACTGTCTTGGAATGGTAGAAACGTGTGATTTAATGGAACCAAACCCTGAGACGCTGCAGTAGAACCTCAGCTTCCCGATCGGGCCTGACGGTGAGCAGGTCTATGCAGGCGCCTGCTGAAGGTTTCAGGAATCCTCCAGGTGTGGAGCAGAGCAGCTTGTCTCATTAACACCTTTTTACAGCGAACCTTGACCTCAGCTCACCCCGGGGCTGAGGCGCAGGCCGCTGGTACGGAGCTACATTAGGATCAGGAAGCTTCTTCCAAAGAAAACAATAAAACTGAAACAATAAAAATAAATAAACTCAACAATGAAACTGAAAAAATAATTTCACAACTTTAAGATTGAAGCTTTTTTCAGTCTGAAGTTTTTTTCATTTTCAAATATTTATTTTTAGTTTAAATGTTTTTGAGTTTTTAAACCTTTTCTCTGTTTCAAATTATTTTTCAGTTTCAAATCTTTTTTGTGTGTCAGTTTTTGTTTTTTTTTCTTCTTTTTAGCAAACTTTATGTCCGTAATGTAGCTCCATAACTGCGGGACGGCGGAGAGAAAACGGGCGGCTGGGGAAACGGTGCGTCCTGCAGGCTGCAGGTCTGTCCCAGGGCAGATTGAGCAGGAATGCCCCCCTGCTGTGACAGTCAGTCTCTGGGGACATTTGGTGTATTTTCAGATTAAAACATAACAATATGAAATATAAGAAGTCAGTTCTCTGAGGTTTATCAGTGATTTTAAGCTCTCTCCCTTCAGAGATGGCCGTTGGATAATCACATGTTTCCTGCCCCACATTTTGACCCAGCAGCTTTACATCTGTTTAAATACTGGCTGCAGCCCACTGAGAGGAAGGCCAGGCTAATCCTCTTCCTCACCAACGGATGGAAAGCAGGAAGCTCCAACAGGAGCCTGGGAGGCTCAAAACTCTGACTTTATCAGGACAATCAGGAAAATCTTGTTTTTACAGTGATTTACAAGGAAGGATGGATGGATGGATGGATGGATGGATGGATGGATGGATGGATGGATGGATGGATGGATGGATGGATGGATGGATGGATGGATGGATGGATGGATGGATGGATGATGGATGGATGGAT